CCCCCCCCGAGCTAGGCAGTTATTAGGGACCAATCACACCGTGAGCGCATTCGATCTCCTTCTGCAACTTTATTTCCAAATTCACCCCGTTCGCGGGGTCTTCTCCAGCCACCCTTCCACGTTTAAATCCCCGGACTTCACAGACCCCAACATGTTTTCGGCTCTCAACGGAACAGTCCGACTGAGCCTGTGCAGGCTAAGTCTCCAGCTTGTCCACTATCCGTTCCCCCAATCACGGTTGCAAATGTTCATCGAGTCGATAACTATTCCTGGTTGCGGATATTTTCATTTTTTCATACCTTCCTTTTCCTCTCTGTCCCTCTCCTGCCCAGCGACATGTCCCCTTGCAACACCCCGCCGTGGATTGCCATTAGTGTCCGGAAAACACTTCGACAGGCCGTCAGCTTCCCTTCCCTTTCCTTTTGCCTTTCTTTCATTGCCGGCGATGTCCCAATTCGTTCGGTATGGGCCATATCCAGGTCTCGCTTGTCATGGTTCCACATCAATGCTTCTGATATGAACACTCAGTTCCGGAGCGACAATTTTCGTCAAGTGTGCTGCTTGTCCAACCAACCATCTATCCAGCGGCCATCCCAATCCCGTGTCATTGCTGAACCACCAGGCCAAACCAGCAAGACGAAACCAATGGGGTGGCCCAGTCCTTTATATCTTTTGCTCGTCTCAGCCCTGGTGCAACAAACGCCGACAACCTCTTGTTCCGCGAAGGTGGGATTTTGGGATGTTACGTCTGCTCAAGGCCAATTTGCTCTGGCAAGCGCCGGTTATGACGTGGAATAGGGCCCCCCCCTCGCCCCCCTCGCCCTCCTCCCACTTGTATGGCATGTCCATCTGGTATTGAAGCAGGCCTCATCCCGTTTCTAGTTGCATTGAAAATTCGCCACAGCTACTGTACCACCTTTATGTCAAATGTTCAATCGGTAACGAATCCACGCAGAAGATGAGCAAGGCCATACAGGAGTAGATTATTGGTCACACTAAAGAAGTTCATTCAGTAGCAAAGGATCGCAACACATGGGAAACGGCATGGTTTCAATATTATAACGGCGGCCGCCAATGTGATTCCATCGACGAGCCCACTTCTCCGCCATATATAATGCCAACAAAGCATTCAATGCAAGACCTTTTCCTTACCCCAATGCTAGAACGACATCGACAAAGGCCACCCTTCCATCCATTCCGAAAACGCCGGTCCCAGTACCACACTACAATGGTGCAAGAGAAGAAAAACAGAAAACCAATGAAAAAAAAAAACTACCCCCGAAAAAAAATAGAAGAGAAGCGAATAAGGGCAAGAGACCCCCCCCCCCCGAATGCAATCCCATCCCGCCTGGTTCCCAGAGGGTCACGGCTCGCGTGACGTCGAGTCTCGAATGGAAGAACCAGGATAACAAACAAGTACAAAGCCCAAGACCGTAGTCAAATCCACTTCGAAAGATCCCACCAACGCCGTATTCGCTATGCTCCGAAATTGAGAAAACAAAGTGTCCGTCTTAGTAAAACAAAAGGGTAATTTGAAGAGAGGCGGTTGGCACGAGTGACATCGCCTCAGGCGAAAGAAGAGGAAAAGAAATGCAACCATGCTGCAAAAGTTCAAGTAATGCTGAGTGGGGTATCATGAAAAAAATCATGAGGATGGGTATCAAGTGCAAGAGTTGCCAAGGGTGCGACCGCTGTGGATAGGTGGAGGTGGTGCGTTCATGGTAGGGGCGGTGTAGTTGGGCAGACGGGAGGTCTCCCAGCTTTCCTCGCTGAGAACACTAAGGTAGCCGTTACCGACCTGATCACGGAGCGCCTCGATTTTGCGGCGATACATCTCACCGCTGATGTCCCAATCCTGAGAATCTTTCCAGTCCATGGAAGTCCCAGAGGCGTACATGGGAGGGATCGTGGGGATAATGCTAGTATCAATCCGTGGTACTTCGGGCTGTGAAGTTGTCCTGCGAGTTTCGGAAAGAACAGCAGGGGGGAGGAGCTGGTCCTTGGGCGGTTGGCTGAATTGATAACCGCTTGAGTCTTTCGATGGGGTCGTAAAACCATTAATGACGGCAGCTGAGGAATTCTTCGGCTTGGGCGGAGTAACCGCTGCAGGCGCCCCTGTGGAGGCAGGGGGGATGGCTTCCGGTGTGGCAAGATCTACAATCCGCCTCTTCTGCGGCTTGCGACGACGGGTAGAGCTAGTATGCACTTCGCTGGTAACAGCTCTCGGACTCGGGCGTTCCTTTCGCAGTACAGAGGATTCCCTGGGAGCATCATAGATGATGGCGGGCTTGCTGACATCCACGGCGGGAACAGTGTCGGAGGCAGGCTTGACGACTGGTACCGCGGCAGGTATGGGCACCCTTTCTACCAAATATCTTCGCTCCGCGTGGCTAGGGCCGGTCTTGTCGATGATGATGTCTACTGTATATCCGGGGGTTTTGCGGAAGAGGTTGAAGATAGTGGTCCGGTAATCACGATGTGTGCGACAAAACGGGTTCCCTTCAACCCAGATTTCTCGGAGCTCTGGGATACCGGTCAACCGAGCAAGTTCCATGGGATCCGTGATCCGGTTATCGCGTAGATCCAGTCTCTCAAGAGGAAACAACTTCTCGATGCCAGCAATGGACTGCAGACGATTTCCACGGAGATTAATTGCAGTGATGGCGGGAAGAGGGTTTCGGGTCAGAGAATTCAGAGACTCGATCATGCAGTTGGAGAGATTGAGGGAGCGTAGTGCAGTAAGTGTAGCGAGGCTGTCAGGGATCTGATCGAACAAGTTGGTCGATAGATCGAGGGACTGCAGGGTTTCAGCCAACGGGGCTAAGCTCGACGCCGGGATAGATGTCATGGAGTTGTCCGCCAAGCTCAGATGCTTCAAGAACCGCCACTTAGACGCGGGCAGAGTACGCATGGTAAGGAGATTCGAGGAACTCAGAGGCCGGCTATGGTACAACGAGTCCGACAGACTCGAGTGCGAGCTACCCGAGCCTGATCGCTGGAATTTGTGGCCTCCTCGCACATTCGTCGACGTGCTCCGTGAAGCAAGTGGCCGGGTGGGCGAATTGCTTCTTGGCCGTGACGACCGAATGGGCGACCTGAGCTCGTCCGGGTCAGCCCGGACCATTGATGCGCGGCGGCCCATGACTGACGGGAAGTCCGGCGCATGGTCGCTTGGGGTAGCCGAGCCGACAGGTATGTCGTCGGCACCTTGGGCATTCGGGGAACCGGGACAAGATGTAGCTCTCTGGGCATCCGTGTGCGGTACCACCATCGAGTCTCTTCGCGGGCTCGCATTGGTCGGTCGGGGGGTTGTCGGGGAGGACTGAGACTTGGACGTTCGCTTCCGCCTTTTGTCCATGTCGTCCAGTACAATGTCTATGAGAATATCGGCAGGGTCATCAACACCCGCTCGCTTCAACGTCAACGACCGAAGTTGTTCCGCGAGTCGATCCCAGCCAAAGAATTGCCGGAAGTCAATGCTGTTAACCTCGAGAGCCTGGACATTTTTGAAGATGTACAAGGGGACGGCAGAGTCGAAGGGAAATTCTTCGTAACCGCGGATCAGACGTGCACGCCAGTCTGGAGACAGCTTCAGACAAGGAATTTTGGTGAAGGCAGAGTAGAGATATTTCAGGTCTGCCAAGACCTGAGCCTTTTGTCTCTCGGTGCGAGCAGCCGATATACTGGCGCCAATGCCCAGACCGGCCCAGAAAGCAGACATGCCAGACATGACACTCCTAACGCTGGAAACTGAATGTATAGAGACGACATCGGAGCCGCGGCTCTTCGATCGCTGGGTATTGCCGAGGAAGGAAACATAATTCGCCGAGGTCGAGGTATCGTGCAGATTTTCGAGGCGGATTTTCATGGGGCCCACGGGAATAGCAAGTTCCTCAAATCGAGAGAGGAGATAAAATAGGTGATGGGGAGTTAGCGAGAGTGTCGTGGACCTCAGACTTTGGGAAGTGAAGCTGAGGGATCCGAAGGATAGAGCTGCAATGAGACCGCTCGAGGTGGAGGCAGACGTCGAAGGGCGTTCCGGGAGAGTCGGATACTGCGGAACAACGACTGCGCCGGCGCTCTGGGATGGGCCATGGCGGGAAATGGACTGTCGTCGGAATTGCAAAGCGTTGGCAAGAGCCTTTTCGTGCGTACGCACGAAGCTGGCTAGTTGCTACACCACAGTGTCAGTTTCGGCCGGATAGATTTCATTATGACTGATGTGCTCCTGGGCGATAGAAAAATAACAGCAATATCAAAGGAGGCGCACCTTAACGAACAACTCCCCGTCTTCCGAGTCCATTTTTAGAAATAAGCGTGCATTGGGGCGGCAAGCAGACGAGAGAAATCGGGGGAGGATCTCGGTATCGAGATAAAGGAGTCGAGCGGACGCAGGTCGCTGGTCCCGTCTGTAATGATCTCGAATACCTTAGGAAGCCTCGAACAGGCTGTTGGCGAAATGGCTTGCTGGAAGTTGCCCGCCGGGAATCGCTTCGCTCACGAGGTACCGCAGAGTCTGCTTGATCAAAGATTAGTACATGGAGCTCCCATTACAAGACAGGCTAAGACGACTTGTGGTTGTCCAAGCATTAAATGTATATGCTCGACTGAAAGGAAACCCCGTTTCACAGCACCTAGGCCGTGCCGGTGTGGAAAGATGAGCACCAGACGCAAGAAAACGCCCCAAATGGGATGCGACCCAACAAGAAAGCCGGTAAAGAACCAAGGTCGAATATGAGCCAGGTAGTACACAGCGTTCTCCCCGTTTCACGGCATGGAAAAGATCGCGGGGACGAGGCAAAGCAGCAGCTAGGAAGATAGGCTGCTGGCTGGCTGGTGAGGCAGAGGGGGCGAAAAAAACGAGAGGCCGTACACAGGAGTCGGTCCACCGAGTGCTCCACCACCAAATACCACTAAAGGAAGGCAGAAAAGCTGTGCGCAAGTGACGAGGTCGGTGCGTAATTGGCTCGAAATACATGGCAGCGGAGAAGAAACAGCAAAGCAAATGCGAGCGAAGAGTCACGGGGTGAACCAGATTCAGGCAGGGCGAGGAGGTGAGGCAATCGAGTTAGAGCAATATGCTACCAGACTCGTATCCCAAAGGAAGACAGGATCCATTTTGAGAAACGCAACGCAGGCCATGTGGTAGAGACGACAAGCAACAGGCAGCCGATTGCAAGGGGCCAGGAAACCCGATCGTAAACACATAGGCAAGACTTACCTGGGAGGAAAAGGCGTGCCGTCGATTCGGTATGGTGACGCGAAAACCCAAGGGGATATTCACGCCAACTGGATTGCAGGCAACGATGTCGCGGATCGAGGTAGGCGATGCAGGAGGGTGAAGCAAGACGACGACGAGATGCGAGGAGGCAAAAGCGGCCTCGAGGACACGACAGACCCGAACTTCGGAAGAAGAAGAAAAAGAAATGGAAAGGAAAAGGAATGACCCTATTCCCAACACCCTCCTCCGATTTGTTTACTCTGTGTCAACGACAAGAGCGACGGGATGCGGGAAAAAAACAACAAAATAAGAAAAAAGCAGGGTCCTCTTTCACGATGGACGGGACGAGACCTCGTTTAATAATAATGATGGGCAGGAGGCTCCCAGAATACGGTTTGAAAGGGGGAACCCGGTTTGTTTCGACCAAGGGGTCTTGGGCATGTTCAAGGTAGGAGCAGCCAAAGAGTTCGTACAGGCAGCACCGGCGACTGTGAGTGGATTAGCATAGGCTTAGCCTTCGACATGGGTGTCCTGCAAAGCCTACGAGGTACCCACCCAGGGACCACAAGACACCCCCACATTCTGGTCCATGGTGTCCTTGGCTTACGGGTCATTCGTTGGTTGTGTGGGCGACTGGGGCTTGGCGTTATGTACCGAGTACTTATGGTACTTCGGGCGACAGGATGACGGTTAGGGTGTTCCCCCCCTCACTTTTTGTAGGTACAGGTACTTTCTTTCCTCTTGTTCTTTCGCAGATGTTGGGCTGTTTTGCCGCTGCCAGAGCGCCCTGGGCGGCCTGGAGGCGAAAGAGAAACACCAATAATGCGGCTTGGAACCAGGCTTGCATTAGCACTTGCAGCCTACTTTATCGCTGCATCACGCAGGGCGCTGCGTTGCGCTGTTTCTGGGAACTTCCCCGGCGCATTCATTCCCATTACAATACTTCCGTACTGGACTTTCATGCATTGGATTGCTTGATGTCCCTGTCCGTAGGAGGGGGAAGTAAAAAAGTGCATCGGGGGAGCCTTCGTGATTCCCTTTGGTTCTGCTCATGCCATCCGTAATCTTCCTACCTACCTATCACCTTCCATCATCGCGATATCTTACAACGTCCCATTCAGGCTGCTCAGGCCGCCACTACTATTGCTCTCATGCCTGTTGCTGCTCTTGTCTCGAAAGTTGCAATTTTACTTGAAATCCTCGCCCAGCCCTTCCTAGTTCCGTTTGGTCACATCTCGTTTCTTCGACGGCTTATCACCACTGATGGGTCAGATGAAATTCGTCCCGGGGTTGACATTAACAGGGAACAAACGCGGCCAAGCACATTTGTCACCCTCTCGGGTGGCCTGCAGACGACCAGGGGGGGAGGAATTCCTAGCTTTTAGGTGGATTTAGTATCTTGGCACCAAGATTGCAACAGTGAGATCGCCCCAGCACGTTACCACCGGCACCCAGTCACGATACATTCCAAGTCCACGAGGTGTCGGCCCATGATGATGAATGATAACGAAGCAGGTGGCACGTCGACGCCGAAATTCTCCCTCTGAAGCCTGAACAGAGGGCACTTCTCATGAGAGGAATACCTTGGTTACGAAGAGGGTTTCGCGGGGTTTCCACCTCGATAAATAATCACGAGGCAGAGAACGCGGAGCATGTCGGCACGCCTGACTTGCGAGTATGAGCACCGAGCCGGTACACTTGCGATGGCCAGTTGCTATACATGTACGGACGTACCCTTCGTAGCATCGTCACCCAAGCAAAGAAAAGAAAAAAAGACGAAAAGCAAGGAAAAGAGGCGTTACAAAGAGGCCAGGAAACCCTCAAATTCGATCCAAGGATAACTGTCCACTTTTTTCCTCGAAGATCTGTGGCCATAGTCCGCTTTTTATGCAGACCAGCTTCACGGATCGCCAGCGGTTTCGATATTTACGGTGTTAGAACGACGACCCTGCAGTCGGGTTGAGGCTCATCTTCTTTTTCTGGTGAGCGGGTGGGGGGGGGGGGCGAAAAGGCGCCTTCCGAATTGGTAGTGAAACTCGCCATCGTAATCATTACCACGCCCGTCTCCATCGTCGGCGCCAGTTGATATCCGAGATGCCATGTCGGCCGACCGGGCCCCCTTTTTTCGGGGCTTCCATCTGACGATCCCGGGGAAACCCCCATTCCAATGCAGCGCCCGCCGCTGTCTTCAGACAAATGCCGTTGTACTTCTGCCATTATTACATCAAGCTGACATTTGCAGCATTCTCACTATAGTGTAGTAAATAACACACACGCTGCGCCCTATCTCCAGACGTCTAGGTATCCATATGCCCTCGACATTCTAACACACTTGCCAGCTTCTTGGCGTTGGCCACTAGATAAGATCGCGTATCGACGGACCTAGGGATCGTCTTGATCCTCAAACACCGACGGACAACCAGTCTTATCCATCTTGTCGGGCACGAACAGAGCGGGAGCTTGCTAGCGCCACCACGGGTTTCCCTGTCGCAGAGTCGCGAAGTTCGTTCTTTGTCAATCACCTGTCAAAGGACTCGTCCCGCTGGTTCGCGCCGTTGATCCCCTGACGGTCCGCCTATCAGACTCGAAATACCCGAATATCAACCGCAGCTTTTCTTTTGCGCTTCCTTCTCCCGACGTTTTGTTTCAACTGGGGATGCTGTCACCACGTCGCCTCTGACTGATTAATTTGTTTCGCGAGAACTGTCTCTCCCTTGATGGACCCTTCAAGCAACATTATTATGTCATGGTCCACTCTGCAGCGGCTGGGCTGCCCTCCCACTTAGGATATACCCAATTACCGACCCTTGTCGCTGCAGCTGCGTCTGTCCTTGGATGACATCTTGCTCCCGTACGCTGGTATCAGTACAGGCAGGTACTGGCCCACTTCCCTCGTCGTCTGTTGCTGCAAAAGTACGACAAACTACGCTAGATATCTGGTCTTCCGTCAAGATCAGCGTCGAGCGCTGATAGCAGACATTCTACATATATCGGCTATGAGATGTCGCTGCCTTAGTGACGAAGTTTGCCGGGCACTGTCATCACCGTGTTAGTATCGCTTTCGGACACTTTGATTTGTCTCACCCCATCTCTCTTGATGCTAGATACCTTACAATGGGCTTTCAAGCTTGATTATGGCGCCCCTGATTGTCGACATGTACAACGATACACGACATGATGACCAGCCTATTATCTCACGAACCATGTTTGGAATGAGGTGGCCGACGTCCGATTTCGCTACGATGCTCCGAGAACAGAACACGGTTTATGGGCTTGGCCAGATCGCAATGGGTCGAAGGGGGCGTGAAACAAAGCTCCTACCGAATCGCATCGTGGGAGAAATATTCTCCTGTTCCTTCTTCGTATTCTCTCTCGTCTCCTGAGAGAGGCACCATGCGTTCCTCACCACTTCTGGCGTTTACCGAAAGGGATGGAATGTGCGCGGCGTGATGGTGTTCTTGTGGTGTCGCTAAGCTGACGACAGGTAATAGAACTGGACGCGTTATCTACTTTCAGCCGCTATACTGCCGTGTCTTCTCCGGCGGTCGCCGAATCAGCCGTCATATGGCCTTATGTCTGACTAGATCTGGCATGCGCATGTGAGAAGTGTGCGAGGTGTGAGACGTATGTAAAGTGTTGTGTGTGGGAGAGTGTGAGGGCGTGTGTCAAGTGCCGTCTCAAGTCCAAGCCAGTTATGGTCACGCGTGGTATACCTATGTCTCTTGGGTGAGGAGTCCGCGAAAGCACTAAAGTACCCAGTACACCCGGCCAAGACTTCCAAGGTAACAATGTTGGGTAAGCGGCACAGCGAGATGCCATTATTCTCTTGGTGCCAGGAAGGAAGAATAAAAAGAACGAGGAAACGTCGCAACATGTCGTGATGGAGCGACCCGGTACGGAGTATATCATGCTAAGACGACTAGTGTAGATTCAGCGACGTGGGTTTGCCGATTTTTAACCTCTTGAGAACACAACTGCGCTGTACACGAGCTGATATTTTAGGTAGGGTGCTTTTGTATTTACTGGTGGTTGGTGGCAAGCCCGGACGCTGCTCTCCCGTTATTCGCTACGAGATGGCCTCAGAACGATAACCCAGTGAGACAAGCATGCACCCGAAAGAGCTGAGAAGCCACAACCGAACTGGCGGCGACGACTCCAGCCAGCCATTGAGCGCGCTACTTCGTACAGTCCGCAACCAGGATCGTCGCCAAGTCCTGGAGCATGCAACCAATCATACGTGAATGCGAATGTCCGTATGTTCTCCGTTTATTCCGTATCCCGACTCCGTGACGCTCCGAGCTTTCCCCCATTCTCCGTTGTCGGTTTGTCATCACCCGAACCCAATTCTGGGGTTGGAATGATGCTCAATTCAAGATGCACATTCCTCGTGCTGTTCCACGAGACCGCCCAGCTGGCCAAGACATCAAGCGAGGAAATCCGGCACAAAGACGGCGCCAGAACTGTCTGAACCGCCGTTTCGGCCAATACATCGCAGACCTGGAGGTATTCTGATATTGCTTGCATCCAAAAGGTGCTCGATTCGTTGAACCCTGCGCATAATAGTCTTCCCATGCCGCTGTCTGAAAGGTATGGTTTGCCGAACTCCCGCAACCCATAGCCGATCTACAGAGGCTATGCCTCCTGGTGAGAAGGCGAATTTGGAAGCTGACCGGTGAGCGGGTCGTATGTACGTTGGTTTCTCTCCCAGGAATGTTTTCGGGGTCCTCCCCGCTCTCCGGGGAAGATAAGATCGTTAGAGGATGCGAGGCAACCCTTAAAACGAGCGTCAGGTAACTCTTTTTTTGTTTGGCAGAATTCACTTCCCATCGACTCGGAGCGGACAAAAGAGACACGAAAGATGGATAAAAGGGTTGATACAAGGGGTGAAAAGACCATCACTGCCTCATAGGTTCGGCCGAGAAGATGGAGAGCTGGGTAGAGGGGCTTGGAGGGGTTGGAGGACCCTGCGCTAGAGCCAAGATCTGATCCGTGTCCCCAATTGACTTGCTTCGAGCACAGACCGGGGGGCGCTATTCGCGCATCTTGGGAAATTACCACGATGTCTGAATGCTTATCTGACGAGCCTTCTCCGTACATGAACGGTGCGGATACCGAGGGTTGGATACTGCTCAGGTCTATGTACAGAAAGCTCTCGATTCAACCGATGTGAACAGAGGGACGCCACGCAACTGCATCTGCTTCTTAAAGTGGCATATATGGAATGAGCGAAAACGTGCGAACCGACTCGAGTCAAGTCAAGTTATGAATGGTCTTTTCGAGCCCGCTGAGGAGACGGATCGAGAAGACGGCGATGAATGCTCGAGTCGAGTAGGTACGAAGTATGTTTTTTTATTTATTACCAGGGCGATACGCGTTGTGTTGCACGAATAGGTAGAGAGTGAAGGGAAACGAGGGAGACAATCGCTGACTCGCTTGCTCACCGCTTCGTCTTAAGAAATGCGCCGCCCCCGGCGCTCGGTGCTTCATGCAAGGCAACGACCAGGGATGTTTGAATATTGTGGAGAGGCTAGCGAGAAGGGCATCTATGGGGACGCCGGGATTCCCATGGACACATAATACCCTAGACGAACATCCAACGGACGACATTTTTAACCCGAGCCAATGAAGTCGCGAAATGAGAATCGACAGCCTATCATCGTTCTCGTCCCAACTTTCAAATCGACGGGAGGACGTTGGTGATGCGAATCGCAAGTTACGAGCTTCTATCGTTTCCGACATATCCTCTACTGCCGTATTTCCCGTGGGAGTTCTCGCAATTTTAACCTGCGTCCTTCCACCGCCGACCTACGTAAGTGCCGTCTTCTTAGCAGGACTTTGGTATTTTCAATCATACCAACGTGGTTTGATAGGAGGGACTCGTTGCAACACTACTGCGGCCAGGGCTCCCTTGCAGTGAAATCTCGTGGGGGCACCGGTGGAAGGTGGGTTGAAGTGTATGGACGGAGTCGTTGTACCAAGAAATACAAAGAAATTATCTTGACTTTGTATTGTGTTTGTATGGCGGGGTGAAATTGGTGGCGGTCGTTGGTCGTTGGTTGGCCGGGTGGGTTTCTCGCTGTCCCCGCTGTCCCCGCTGTCCCCGCTTTTCCGACCCTTACCGATACCTGAGGTCCTTACATATGGCAAATAATCAGCAAAACATGAGAACGGGCAAGAAAAGTGTAATCAGAAGGACTTCATCCTTCCAGGTTCTCTTCGAGATGGATACCTTTTTAACGCATGTGTATCCGTACTCCATCTGAAGGGACCATCTCCGCCTTCTCTGCGTGACCGCCACCTTCGCCGTCTAACATCAGTCTAGTTATTCTGTGTCTCAGATTTTTGCGCATTGCATCGACATGACCACCGCCGCCACTATATTCCGTGATCCGGACCGGTTAATACTGCTCACCCCCACGTTCTTTAGATTTTGTTACGACGTCCCACACCAGCGCCCCGGGGTTCTCTACCTAACCTCCCGGCTTCCCACTTTCTCGGTACTGCCCCGTAGCATCGCAAAAACGCCACTATATTATTGGTCCTGTGACACTTTTTTCACTGCAACTGATCGATGAGAACGAGCGTCTTCGATCCCCATGGGATCCTCCTTACGAGCACCGACATATCAAGCTTGTGGGGATTTCTCGTACCTTCGTTGAGCTTCGGTGTCCACTCCACTCCTCGCCAACTGACGTCCGTTCGTCTCTCGGGCTCTGGCTCTACGCAGTAGGTAAGACATAGCATCTACCATCGTGACAGTGACACCCCTCAAGACTCGCCCAGCAGAAATGGTCCCCAAACGTCAGCTCGTACGGGGAGTACGGGGGATCTGCTACTTCGTACGGAGTAACCATCACATCGTATGTCCTGCGAGGTGAGCTGAAATACCTCATTTGGCTACCTTAGTCTGGCGAACACACATCTGTATGTACATCTGTATATACATATATACATAACCTCAGCAGTTCTTATACACCGCAAAATTCTAAAAGATATATTTTTCCTATTATAGACATACTAGGTGTTCCTGTGTAACACACCCGTCCGGTTAACAATGTTACTGTGCTTGTCTCGTTCTGGTACTTTCTCCCTTGTCGCGTCGTGCCGCATCATGCGCCCCTTCTTACCGCATGGTGCAAGGCGCCCAAACTCCTACGAGGTACATGTCAAGACGGACCAATTACTGGTATATGATGGTCCACGGAAGGATCAGTCTCTGTTTCTCCTGCACATTTCACCATTGTTGACTGTCCCGTGTGATCGTGCCAGTTTTCATGTCGCGCGGCAGCGAACTCGATGGAACAGGGTATATCAATGAGACTCTACAGCGTACTGTACTCCATGGTTCCGACCTGGGACCCCGGAGATCAGGATGGAGTCGGTGTGCGGGAGGGGCAGGATGACGGGGATGACCCCCTATAGTGACCGATATAGAGTTGTTTCGTGGTAAGAGAATCTTTGCTCAACTCCGTGACACTCGGATGCTGCGATATATTTTCTTCTTTTCTTTTTTATTTCTCGTTGTTTTGTCCTTTCTTCATCATCCCACCCTCTCGACTGTTGTTGGCAGACAGGGATAGCCTTGTCCCCGAATTCACATGAGGCTGACCTGACTGACCGCCAGTGATCTTCAACTCGGCGGTTAATTAGTTACAGCCTCGTTTTCGCCAACCCCTCTTTCTTCCCTGATACGGAGTAGTTCCGAGTTCACTCATTAGTGGACTGTACATTTTAACCATTAGATGCCAACTTTTCCAACCTTCTTTCGATCTGTTTATCCAACAGCTATCCGTGAACTTGGCGAAACTAGACTGTCCCTAAAGCCACTAGCATATATATGACCGGCCCGGGATCGGCGCCGGTGGGTTTTTTTTTCTGTCTTTCTTTTTTTCGCGCACGTTTCCTTCTATCTGATACAGGACAGTTTCTACTTCCTCAGTGGATGCAAGTCCGACCAGGGCTGGCGACAACGCTATGCGGCATTCTTGTATGAGCAGAGTCGCCAGTGCTAGCGGGTGACCTCCTTTTCACAAATGGAGAAGTAGATAAATCTGGTGATCCCCTGGCGCCGTGGCAGGATCTTCGTATGATGGGTTTTCCGCGTCGCCTGGTACAAGTCGACTACGGAGGTTTCCTCCCTGATGCATTGGTAGCAGAGATGCAACAAGCACGTGGTAGACGGCCCCGTCAAGACACGTCGTGGTGGACGCAAAACAGGCCATTCGAGTGCTTTGGACTAGTATAACCGGCTCATGACACCGTATCGGCAGTTGGAAACTCGGTTTGCCGTTCCACGCTGGGTTGAGTACTCTGTGGACACGGGGGGAAGAGAATAGTTCAGACTGAGGTCGGCTTTTGACTTGGACATCACATAATTAATTACCGATGTGTTAGCTGGCCCGAGTTGCGGTTTGAGCAGGTAGACTCGGTAGGCAGCATCCTCTCTACCTCTTGAAATCCTCTAGTCCCGAATCTTTAGTTGCCGTACCATTCGTATGATGACGGGAGGTGCGTGAGGTGCAGGCGTTGGGATCGAATTGTCGCATTGTTACGCGTTTGGAGGCAGCGTCATGCGGGCTCACAGAATCTATGGATCCGCCGACGACACCAGGCCGACAGAGATATTGTTCTTGATAGACCAGCTTCTGGTCTAAACTCGAGGTCTCATGGATCATAATATAGATACAGTTCGTCTATGCTATTATACAGAACCACAGATATACATATTGGTCGAGATGTACAGATAGGTCCTCCTAGTCAACCACGAGCTTGAGAAGTAGGAGCCCTCAGTTAATTTCACGAGCGCCTCTGGTTCTTCGGGCCTGTGCCGGCGCCATTGACACGCACAAGGCTTTCCAGAGCTGCGCCGTCATTCAGCGCCCAACCGCCTTCAACATCCAGTTTGCATTTCCGGCTCCCCACCATAACCTTCAAGAAACCGCCGCCCACGATCCCCCTCCTGATACCGCGCCACACAGCCTTCGCCCCGCGTCCGGCATCGCGGAAAGGCAGCGTCAGCAACCTCTGCTTCTCCTGTTCCCACCTCGCCTTGGCCTCCGCCTTCTCCCTCGCACGCGCGGCCCGGGCTTGCGCTTCGGTCAGGTGAGGCTTGAAGAGCCGCCCGGAAAGGACGACGTCCGCCGGCGGAACCGTCACGATAGATGGTTTCCGGAAAAAGGGGAGGATGGGTTTCACGGCAACTTCGAGGTGGATCGGCGTGAGGCGCGGGTTATGGGCGACCGTCCCCGCGGCGGACGCGAGGGCTTTGGACCCGAGAGAGGCGGTGGGGACGGCGCGGATCGACTTGATGATGTTGGCGGAACCGAAGACGAAGAACGAGCCCACACCTGCCATGGCTATGCAGACGGCCGTGTATACGGAGCTCACCCACCACGGGGCGCCCGGGAAGTCGCCGGAAACGGAGTAGAGGCAGTTCAAGCCTGCGCCAGCATAGCAGGCTATAGCAGATGACCAGGCAGTGAATTTGAGCCAGAAGTGCGGGGGTGCTTCGTAGAGGACGGTTGGAGTTTTGGATCGCGCGAGCTGGAGGAGGAAAGGATTGTTGGCGGTCGAGGGGTGGAGGGGCAATGGTTGTGTTACTGATTTCGGAGTCGGGGTTGCGGTCGGGGTGCGGCGTGGTGTTGAGGACGAGGCCTGTTTCGACGATTGGAGAGCTGGTTTAGAGGAGTAACGTAGAGAAGATGGCGAGCCAAACCTTCGGACTGTAGGGAGTGGTGGCAGAGCATCAAACCGTGGCCTGCAGAGGGAGTTCCGGAAGGGTAGGTGAAGCGCGGTGCGACCCGACAGGATTGCCATTGTGGGCTAAGGGCTTGCCTGAAGCCAATTCAAAATTAACATAAAAAGAGAAAATGGTGGCGGAGAGGACCCGCACCTAATAGCATCTATCCGGCTTGTCAATGTCGGAGCAGAGTAGAGCTTGACGATTTTGAGACGGATGAAGCTATCACCAAACAGAAGAAAAAGTTCCCCATCGCCGGGAACAGTTACTCGGAGCTTGGCCAGATTCTAGCCAGCTGTACCCAGTCGGCGACCCTGCTCCGGTTCTTGTTCCTGTTGACGAAGGCGGCAAAACAATATACCGAACACCGAAGTTTACTTTACTCGGTTCTGTGCCTTGCCTAGATACCTTACCTAATACGGTACCCAAGGTACACGATAGAAAATGGAGGTACGTACCTCCAGTCCCACTCCAGCCCAACGGCTGAGCTAATTTGTCCGTGCGCGCCGCCAAACATCGGCGGTTCCTCAACAAGCTTCTATCTTAATAATATTTATTTTCGGAGCTTCAATCTTATTGCGCAAAATCCCCAGCCAGCCAATTCTTTCCATTCAACACCGCTCAATCGAGCCAATCTTGCCCCTGTCCCATCGGCCAAAGGCGACGATGGCTTCCCTAGCGACGGCATGCCGTCTTTCGGCCAGGCTAATCGCCCGGAGAGGGCCCGCCGATGCCTCAATTCGAGGTGAGTTCGAAAAACCCGGTCCGAAAGACGGGCGTACGTTATATCCCTCGCTAACCATCTGTCTTTTTTCTTTTTTACAGGTTTCACCACATCCACACGATGCCTCGTTACGCAAAATTTTACCATGCCGGCCCTTTCGCCGACCATGACGGAGGGAAATATTGCCACCTGGAAGGTTAAGGAGGGCGAGTCGTTCGCTGCTGGCGACGTGCTGCTCGAGATCGAGACCGATAAAGCCACCATGGACGTCGAGGCCCAAGAGGATGGGATGGTCGCCAAGATTATCGCCGGAGATAACTCCAAGGCTGTTCAAGTCGGCACACGAATTGCCGTCATTGCTGAACCGGGCGATGATCTGTCTTCCCTCGAGATCCCGGCCGAGGAACCCGCCGGACAACAGCAGCCTCAGTCGTCCTCCAAGGAGGAGACCAAGAGCGAGAGCAGCCCCGAGGGAAAGCCGGCGTCGCTCCCTTCCGACGGAAAGAAACACGAGCAAAAATACCCTCTTCTCCCCTCCGTCCAGCACCTGGTCCACCTCCACAACATCGACCCCGAAACCGTCTCCCGCATCCCCCCAACCGGACCCCAGGGCCGCCTCCTCAAGGGCGACGTCCTCGCCTACCTCGGCACCATCAACGCCGCCACCCCGGCCACGATCACCGAGCGTTTCACCAAGCTCTCGCACCTCGACCTCAGCAACATCAAGGTCGCCGCCGCCAAGGTCAAGGCGGAGACGAAAGCGGAGGCCGCACCCACCCCGGCAGCCGCGGCGGAACAACCTCCCACCCCGGAACCAGACTCCGAGGTCGTCGTGCCCCTCTCCCTCGCCAAGGTCGCCGAGACCCAGCGCCGCATCCAGGACACCCTGGGCGTCTACCTGCCCCTGGCCACCTTCGTCGCCCGCGCCGCCGAGTTCGCCAACGACGACCTGCCCCCGTCCGCCCGCCCGCCCACCGCCGACGAGCTCTTCAACCAGGTCCTCGGCCTCGACAAGCTGCAGCCGCGCGGCACCTCCCGCGGCTTCTACCTCCCGCAGGTCGATGCGCTGCCCCAGTCTGCCATCCGCGCCGCCGCCGCCGCCGCGCCCCGCAGCAAATCTGCCGACCTTATCGACATACTCGCCGGCACTGCCAAGAAGACGAAGCCTGCTTCCGCTGTAACCGGCTTGTCTCAGAATGACACGAATGTCGTCAGCGTGACCGTGCCCAAGGGCGACGAGAAACGGGCGAGGGTCTTCCTGGAGAGGGTCAAGGTGATTTTGGAGCAGGAGCCGGCGAGGCTCGTCTTGTGATGCAATTGCAAAGGACGAGCCGGGGGGGAGGAGTTTGTAGAGTGCGTGCGTGTATTTATATTCATGAATGGAACTCGGAAAGCCATGTTTATAGTTTAAAGGCTCCAGAGCTTAGCTTCAACTCTTAGTCACGACGGCCGGCACTGTTTTGTGAGCGTCTGTTGGTTTACTAGAGTCTTGATTGTCCTTGATTCATACTTCTTTACTTCGCTCGGGGCCGAGGGAACAACCCCAATATCAACGTTTTAACCGACCTCCACCGTAGAATCCATGTAACAGCTCTGCATTTGAACATTCTGTTTCTTTTTTCTTCTTCTTTTGCCCCTCTTGATCCTGTTTTCTCTTCCCTTTACCCTGTCCCCGGGACTAAGTAATTACCAAGTAGTTAATAACAGAACGCTTGCTGGTACAACAAGCAGAAAATACAATCTAGGCCGCCCAATCTACAGCAGAATTTCTCCAAGTCGCATGTATCAGAACCATTCATCCGTTTCCAGCATGTCCTCCTGTTCTTCCCACCCGAGCCATGTGGGCGGATCAAACCCATTGGGCCTTGTCGCCCTGAGATGCCCTATCCCGATACCGCTGACTCTCAGTGGTTCCCTAGGCCACATGACCTCCGCCTGGAAACCGTCGCTCCAAGCTTTGTGCATCATTCTCTCTTCAAAGAGCGCAGGGTGGAGCCGCTTCATGCTTTGCAGTGCTCGTTTCCCAACCTCGTCCACCGAGTCGTGATGCCTCAAATCAAAGAAGGCGGGATCGTGAGTCTTCCGCAGGCGGGCCTGAACCTCAGGCGGGTGCGATCCAAGCGAAAGGAGGAACATGTCGTACTGACACAGGCTGGTCCGGCCCGCCCACGAACCGCCCTCGGTGGCGCGACGGAAAAGTCCAATCATGGCGGCGACACAGCCGAGGGCGCCGGTCCCGTAATCGGACATGGGGAAGGGAGGTACGACGGGCTCATCGAGCCCCATGAAGCGTCCTTGCTCCCATGCCACCCCGGTTGCGCAGTCGGCGATCTGCTGCCACCCGGGTCGCGAGGCCCATTCGGCACGACTGGCTTCGCTCGTCCCCGTCCCGCCAAAGCAATCCTCGGCGACGTAGACGAAGCCCTTACCCCGTAGAGCGGCCAGTTCTGCGAGGTAATCCGGCCCGTAGCCGAGGCGGCTCAAAGCGCCGGGACGATATCCATCGAAAACGACGTCGGCACCGGCGAGAAGAGAATCGAAGATGGCGCGATCGGCCGCGGAGTGAAGGTCGAGGGACGTTGCGTGCTTCCCCGTGTTGACGTCGACTTGGAAGAACGGTACATCTGGGAGGCGGTGGGAGGTGACCTTGAGGACGGAAGCGCCGTGGGCGGCGAGAGAGCGGCCGATGGTTGGACCGGCAATGACTCGACAGAGCTCAAGAACGCGTATGCCTTGAAGACACTGGGAGTACGTCAGGCTCGAGGTGCCAGCATGGTCTTGGGATTCGAACGGAGCGGGAGGTGTCTTCGTCTCGAGCGGTTGGATCGTGACCGGAGGCAACGACTTCAGAGTCTTGCCATGCGACGTCTTCAGGAACTGCTCTGGTTTGAGCACGGGAAAGCCCGCTTGGTCTTCTCTGCAGTTCAGCTCCTCGAGTTCCCGGGTGGTAAAACGACGGACGGCAGCTTCGATGGTTTCAATGCAGTCCTTGTAATCCTGGAGATCGGGGTTGAAAGGGGATAGCCCTATCATACGGAGCGTTCTGCTCGCCTCGAGAGAGCCATGTATGTGATAATATTCCGTGGGGTTCTTCGTCTGATAAAGATTCGCCGAGAGCCGCCGGTAGAGTATCGACTGAGCGCAGTTGAGATCGGTATCTGAAGGATATCACAAATGCTAGTCGGCAGCATACTGGATTATTTGAAGAAGAAGAAAAAGAAAAAGAAGAAAAAGAAGAAGAAAAAACCAGGCATGTCTTACCTGGGATTTTCCACTTGACCTTAGCATGCCCCTTGTCCATTCCGTTGACGGTGCAAAGATACGCTGACATGAGAAAACATGTGATTTTGCACATGTCAACCTCGATATTTCTCCTGGTTCGGCGCTGTTGGCGGAGATTGGCCAAGGCGGAAACAGCTAGGCCCTCCAGTGCTCTGATAGAAGCCGCGGCCTCCTGCTCCTTGTGGGGAGAAGGGAAGTATGTATCGTCACCCAATGGCGCAATGAATTTGATATGAGCAGCATTGTCGAGGAACTCAGGGGGAAGTTCGTTGCCGAAGGCGATAATAAGTCTGGCTACGGCATCCCCTGCGCCCTGACTGGGAGTATAGCCGGACGATGTCCTCTGATGAGAGCTGACCTTGATAACTCCCATATCTGTGAACAAGAACTGGAACAAATTTGGAGACGCAGCAAAGCGTCGGAGTCGGAGACAAAAGAGTAGACGGTATCTAGTGTCTTGATTGCCTGCACAGCATAGGGCACCGCGAACCCCTAGAGCTTATGAATTAAGAAATGCTTGGACGCTCATCAACCGGTGATCACAGACGTCACCGAAGGCGAAGAACAGACGCAGGGGGTAGAGGCAATGTGAGATGCGACGGGAACGTGAACACGGCGATACATGTGAGACAGTTCGCATGGCCAAGGCCTTGATAGTCATGGTCAGGAACTAAGCTCCGTGCTTGGTTCATCGTGTATAGAGCCCCGTCGATGGAGTACTCCTTCGTACGAGCGAGAGTAGATCGGAAAGCGCCCAAGCCCGACTGTTGACTACACAAGGAACCAGCGGTGGCATAGAGCAGCAACCGACGGCACCGGAGCCACATCGGGGGCACATGGGAATTTCTCAGCCCGGGCTTGACGATTTGCAGTTCAAATAACCCCTACCCTGATACCCCGACACTTTGCTCCTGCTTTGCTTGTTGGTGTCAGTAGAGGTATAACAGTGATGCGCACTTCCCGGTCGCAAGGGCGTGGCGGCGTGGGAATCCACTGCATATGCCGGAACGAGACTCAGCTAAGCATTAAAAAGCTGAAAAGCATGCAGTCGGTTCCTTCCCCCGTGGTCCGCGAGCGCGGGCGTCATTTAAGGAAGCGGGAGCTCGTCGGTGGCTGGACGGGTAGGATGCCTAGAACCGGCTAGCTCCCTCTAACCTGGCCGGTGTGGTGGGTGGCGTACGAGGGAGGTGAGGGAGGTGAGGGAGGTGAGGGAGGTGAGGGAGGTGAGGGAGGTGAGGGAGGCGAGAAACGTGAAGGAGGTGAAGGAAGTGAGAGAGCGACAGCCCAAGCAAGGAAAGGAGGCCGGCAGGATGGGAGAAGGAGCTCGCAGCTGCATGCGATGGAATTAAACTAGTACATATGCGGTGCTCGTTGGAAAAACAAGGAGATGAGCTTCTTTGATCGAGTAGATTGGCACTCCTCGGCGACCTGTATCAGATCGACAGCCCGTTCGCCAGTCTTTCGACGATCGAATTATTTCTGCGTATATGCGCGGGCGGTTATCAACAACTCTTGGTTCATGTTGAGCCCTAATGACAATCGCCTTCGAGTTCTGGTGCCAAGTGGGTGGGGCCGAGATTGAGACGTCGTGATCTGCGACGAGCTGACAGGACGTGAAGCAGACCAAGCCTTGGGGTGCTGCGCAACAGAACCTCAGCCGTCCGTTGGGTTGGTGCTTCATCCGACTCGTATTCCTTTCTGATGTAAGAAACGGGGCATCGCATCGGAATTCTTAACTGCGTGAGACGGGTCTGAAGAGCCCCTTCATTGGGCGGACATAGGTACGTTGGAGGATGGGCGACAAGATTCTGTGTACAGGCGTACTCCGTAGATGCATGCCGTTCTATGTTGCAGTGTGGGAGGGAAACGATGGGGATTTGAGGATATCAAAGCTGGAAGCTGTGTGTCTTGTGGGAAGATGCTAAGATGCTCCATAAGGGCAACAACATTTATCGTAAGGTTAAGATACTCCCGGTAGGTCGAGGCTGCTGAATATCCGTCTGTACGGAGTAACACTTTGTAGGAGACGGTTTTTTTCTGCACCCAGATAGATTCATCCAATGGCAGTTGTCATTTTCGAATGACCCAGGAGTTCCTTCCTACGGCGTAGGCGTCAAAAAAAAAAAAAATCGGGCTGACGGCTGAATGATGTGGGAAGAGCAACGTGGTGAACCGTCCTTTCCTTACTGGGGAGACATTGGGTGTCGGCCCTACTTTCCCCAGAAGCTTTAGATGCGAGGGGACTTGGGCACAGGGTCAGTGGATGACGTTCTAACGTCGAAATTAAGTCGTAGCTACCTTAGTCCAGTCCCACTCAGGTACAACTACCATATGGGATAAAATGGGAAGGGACATCACGATATTGCTGGGGAGTTCTGCTCCGTACCCCAACCATCACATCAGATGATGGCTCGTCGTAATAAATGCCCACCTTATTACCCGACCTTACCTATTCGTACGAGTCTACCTATGTACGAAGGAACACCTCGAACTTGAACCCAAATGTCGTTCCTCTTGTCAGGTCATACGGTAGAGAATTGGTGAGCTGCTGTACCAGACTCCAACTGATTTCCCGTATTAAGAAAAACACAAGCACAAGCTGACCAGCCCGTTGTCGTCACATTCTGGTGCCCATACTTACTTCGGCCCCCCCGCCCCCCCTTTCTTTTTGCCCTTTTCCTTTTCTTCTCTCCTTCCTTTTCCTCCCCTCTTCGCCTCAATCGACACCCTTCAGCTGTTGGATCCTTTCCGCTTCCCCCTCCTTCTTCAAACTTGGTTCGGTCTAATTTAACAATGTACCTGGGGTATCACAACTTCCAACACGCGTCAAATCAGAGAGAGGGCTGGCTGGATTCGTGGCCGACCTCCCAGCGCCCCCCTCCATTTTGATTCGAGGCTCTTCATGCGCGTGATCCAATTTGCCCTACCCCGGCGCTTTCGTCAGGCTGCTCGGGTAAGATGCGCGACAGAACCAGCAATAAATCTACGGAAATCCAAGCTCCTGCAGATGAATCCTACGCCGACCAGTCCATCAACGAATCATGGGCGACCTCGGTGTCTGGTTCCCATGCACCCGGTCAAGGTCTGGCAATGGCCGTAATGCTTACACACCTACCTATCTACCCGATCTACCCGCATGGGTAAGGGGTCAGTAGGCAGGTGAGGAGGTGATGAAGGAATGCACGGCTGTTGTCAGTCGGCTGATGACCTGGAAGGGGGGGGCTGCCATTCCGGAACCCGCATCCCGGCCTGTCCTGGGGCCCGGCAACACTGCTGGTCGTTGTCCGACCCCCCTTTATACGTTCGATGACTGAATCGACGCGGTCCTTCACGCCATTCTCGTCTCTTGGATTCACACTCAACTGAATCACAACATGTCCATCACCCAAACCCACCACCCACCACCCACCGTCCACCGCCCACCGCCCACAACACACCATAACAAGGTGCCGCACACCTCACGCCCCCCACAACCATCACAATTACCAGAGAGGACTACCCATTCGTCGCAGGGAACGCCGGCTTGAATCGTAATAGAACACGATGCCCGGAATTTTCAGTCTCTTTCTCTCCCCCCCGGCCTATGGTCCTCGCAGTGAACAGCTGGTTCTTTCTCTATCTGATATACGCTACTCGGAAGAAGGGGGTTTGCGCTGGACCAGTCGATGTGGAGCTGGTCTTCTTCTCAATCTCGGGATATTGGGGGCGTTAATGGGCTCGCCGACAACTGCTACGCCGCACTGTGACCAATTTTGAACAAGGGCAGGAATCGGGGATTCGCCATGCTCAATATCAAAATCCAAGTCGACCTAATTACCTTCCACCCGGACGCGGTAACCACCTTAACGTGAGTCTCAAAACATCTCTACCCTGTAGGAAGTACCTATATTAAGACTTCTAAGCAGATACGATACATAGGCCGGGTAGAAACCCCCAAATTTATCAGGGGATACCTGGCGCCACCGAACTCGCGTCCTTGCCTGCTTGCGCCGAACTCGTTGATCATTGATCGTTGCGTCTGACTAACACCGTTTCTACTCTGCACAAGCTTCGGTTTTCCGCCTCTGCCTCAATGCCAACGAACCGACCCCGACACACCCACTCGATATCTCAACCATCGTTGACGACGTCGCCGCCGTCATCATCCCTCTTCTTCCCCATCTACCCTGGCCAGGCTAGGTTCCTCGCCAATCTTCCGGCCCCTCCCCCCCCTGATCCATGGCCCCTGAGCCGCGGCCCTTCCATCAGCTCCAGTGCCCTGTCTTTCTCACTCCTCTCGTCCGTTTTCTGCTACTGTCTCGAACGTCTCGAACACACCCCCCAGGCGATTGATTACCCGCTTCGAATCGTAGTCATCACTGCCCCTTACAGAGTACGTATAGTCAGCTCCTCCCGACAGAAGGGTGTTGCCGACAGCCAAAACCCCAACACCGTCCACACCCGCACCCGCACCCGCACCCCCGCCCGCTTCCGCTGCCATATCCGCACCCGCATCCCGTCTCATCTTGCAAAGGATCTTGTCCTACGGGGTTAACCTTCAATAGTCACGCAGCGGGGGTCTGTGCTGGACCTCTTTCTGCTTCATCAAGTTTTGGTTCTTGCCGCTTGACAGCATGATCGTCGTCCATCATGACTCGACCAAAGGTTCCGGCAGACAAACGTATAAGAACTGCCCGGGCCTGTGAAACCTGCAAACGTAGGAAGCAGAAGGTGAGCCCCCTCTATTGATTCTGCGTTGATGTTTCTCGTTGCTCTCATCCCGTCGGAAATATTGCTCTCTATGCGCGACAATGTTCCCTACAAACATCATACGCAACCTCACCTCCTTTGCTTCTTGTCCCACCTGAACTCTGCTCTGCCACATACCTGTCTAGACGCCTCGGCTTCATCCTACCTTCTCTTAACCCTCTTACATATTGAACCAGCTGTCTGTTGTCCATTGTTTCACTGACCGCATGCCCACCTCATCCTGTATTCATTCTCCCCTCCGCCAACCCCCCCTTTTTCCCTTCAAAATCCGGTTGTTAGGCAGCGCTCTTCGTTGTCTTTTGAAGCATGCTCGGTTTAGAATGAGAGAGGTTTCGCGAAACAGTCGTGTCGTCTGGGGGACCGCCGCGTACACATGCCCTCATGCCATGTCATCCGGTTTCCGCCATGTCATGCTTGATCATAGAGCTAACTCTACCAATTTTTGAAGTGCAATGGTCTTCAACCCTGTAACACTTGCACGAGAAGAAGCTTGACCTGTTCCTATGTGGCGGCCTGCGACAGTTTGCATGCAAGTCCATCAGGTCAACCAGACACCCCCTCCAACAAACGACGGCACATGGAAGATGCCTCATCATTTATCGAGACGGGAGGTTTAGAACACTCCGCTATGCCCCACGTCAATCCCGTCCTGACAAAGATCGCCGGAAGTTCACGATTGGGGCCAGCAAGCACCTTCGATAAGCCCCGGGTCGGGTTCGACACAGTGGCTAAAATTGAGCCATCTACACGTCTCACTCCGCGGGAGAAAGAGCTTGACTCCTTCTCGGGAGGCAGCAGCAGCGCTACGGCGCCTGACGATGAGACATCATTGCTCCAGTCCACCAGAATGTTACAGGACCCTACTGGTCGACTACGTAGGTGCTCTCGGCCTGCTGCTTCTGGGCTCCAGATGCCTGTTATTGACCTGTATCTCAAGTATACGTCGGCGATTCGGCCTCTCTCGCGTATCTTCAACTGATACGAATAATCGTCGAAACGAGGACCGGGCCCAACGACTTCACTCTCGACCCCAGCAGGCACAAGATCATGGAGGTTACCACGAGCGTGCCCCCTCACATCAAACTACCGCATATGCTTCCAGATCGAGAGGCAGCAGATATATTGGTCGAGTCCTTTTTCAAAAATGTACGTGTAATCCAGATATATTTCCATTTGACTACGTTGCTGATGCCTCTTCGTTAGACCCGTGGCTTGATCGAGGTCTTCAACAGATCAGCCTTTGAGGATAGTATGCACGCCTGCTATTCAGACCCCCTCAATGCGCGATCATCATTCTTATGCCTACTCTACCTCACTTTCGCTCTGGGTATGGTGCTGGGCACGGCGCCAATAGGATCCAGAGAAGCCGCCATATATGAAAGGCTCCGAACAGATCAATACGACCGAGCAGAGATATTTTTCAGGAACGCCAAGCTCCTGGGTGACCCAATGTCAGGATTTGAGGATGCCGACTTTTGGTCCATCCAAGCACTTACCCTTATGGCTGTCTATATGCTGGCCGTCTCAAAGCGAAACGCAGCCTACGCCTACTTTGGTGAGTCCTGGCCCTCGCAGAATCGCTAATTTGGGGGGTTTTCTTTTTTGCATTGTTGACAATGGAACAGGCATGGCTGTCCGGTCCGCATATTCGTTTGGGCTGCATAGAGTTCAGGAGAACGACTTCATTTTCACCAGCGAAGATGTCAGACTCAGGCGGAACCTGTGGCGCAGCCTCTTCGTTCTCGACAGATTTCTCGCCGCCTCTCTGGGTCGCCCTGTAGCCATCGACGAGGACGAATGCTCCGAGGACGCACTCCTGGTGTACGGAAAGGACGCGCAGGGGGAGCTTGTTCCCCTGGCCAACCCCGAGGGCGGCCTCGATTTAGCTGTTCGGAGTTGCCAGATCATGGGGCAAATCCTGAAGAAGATCTACGCCCGGCGTAAAATCTCTATACGCCTCGCCCAGGAAATTGCAGAGCGATGCAAGGCGTGGAGCGCATCGCTGAATCCTCAACTGCACGGCACATCAGTGCGGACGACATCCACGGATACCTCCGCGGCTATTTCCGCACTACACGTTAATCTCCTCCACTGCCACTCCATTCTTCTTATGACGAGACCCTTCTTCATCTGCCTACTTAGCAAAGTCCACAATGAGAGAAGTGGTCATACGCTCACTGTTCCGCGCTGGATCAACCGCATGGCTAGATACTGCGAGGCATGTCTTGTGGCGTCTTGTCAAACCATAAGGCTCGTCGCCCAGGCCTACGAATGCAAATATCTGCCGCGTCGCAACCCTTTTGTCCTGTGAGTGGCTGCTCGACCCGAACTCTCTCGTCTCATGTTCTCCACTCTCCCTCCACCGGCTAATATAACACTCAGGTATTTCTTGTTTGCCGCTTGTCTCATTGCACTCAGCAATGAATTCGTGTCCGTCTATGAAAATCCTTTGTACAATGATTGCATGGGCAGCGCCATCGAAGTCGTGAGGTACTGTGCTGAGACAGATCCACAAGCGAATCGCCTGCTCTATATCCTCCACTCGTTCCAAGCCGCTGTCGCCGACGTGCGAGCGAAACATATGGATCCGCCTGCTCTGCCCGTTGTCATGGGCACACAGCGGGAGCTCAGAGACCCCGTGTTAAATCTCTTTTCTTCTAGGAGCGTTTCTCGCAAAGACTCCCTGGTCACAGTGCCATCTCATCCACCGCCCTCTGGAGTTCCGCAGCTGGGGCAGTTGTTGAAGAATATGGAGAACCAAAACGGCAGTGTCATGCCTGGTGGTGGGCAAGCTTCCCTCATGGGAGTCTCCCCCGTAAGCAGTGGGAGCTTTCGAGACGCCGATGGAACAGAGGGCGAGCTTGACTTTGAGCGTCTTTGGAACCCGGGGACTGCAGGCGCGTCTATGCCGGTGGGCAGTGGGCTTACTGAGCCTTCGCCCACCGGCGCGGGTTGCGGTCGGGACACGCTTCCTCCGGGGTTGTCGGGACATACGGTGTCCGGACCTCCCCGTATAGCAACCAACTTCGCATCCACGCCGCCAGTCGCGACTCTCTACTCGCCATCTCAGCTTGGAATCTGAGCTGGGGGAGAGTGCGAAGCGAACTTCGAACAGCGGGCGTATCTGGTCCCATGGCTCTCGGACGTGCCCAATCTTTATGCCTACTAAACAAAAGAAAGAGGAAGAAGACTGGAAACTTTGGCGATGGTGTAGGTTTCAATACCCATTGTTGCATTCACGAAATACCCATCGATATATTATTTATAGGCTTGGGTACTATGCCATGGCACTCGGTGGACGGGCGAGATAGGGTTTGCTTTACAGAGCTCTCCAAACCTGTTCCCCCAAAACACGAAAATGTTCATTATCTTCTCGTAGGGGAATCCCAATTACTGTGAAGGCGTTGATCGAGGCCTTGCATCTCGTCTGGCGTATCTGGAATTCTTCCTTGGACGTCCCAAGACTTCAACGGAGCATATTAAACCCTCTAGATACCCAGGGTAATGCAGAGAGACACGATGAAAGTTGGATATAGGTATGATAGACGACGTTGTAGGAAGCTCAAGGGAAACGCGAGGGCCTCGGATGAGACATTACTCTGGTGACAAGGAAATGAATAGATGTCGTTCAGACCCTCGTTCAGATTCAAAAGGCCACGTTCATTATTTTTATTTCCCCCTTTCCCCTCTTCTCCCAAAATATCGAAGATAGGCGCTGCTTCACGAGACACAATAAATGCGTGGCTTGAAAAGAGGGATCAATATGCTATTCCGTAGAAGAAAAAAAAAGAAGAAAAAAAGCTCGAGAGGCAGATAGGAGGTTAAGGTAGATCAAGAAAAAATAAAATGCACAGCGCAACATGATCGAAAATTCGTTACCACGAACTCGGCCCGAAGGTCTGGCCATCCGGGACATAGGTCTGGACCGACTTGCCCTTGAAGTCCAGCGTCGTCTTGACCACCTCGTTGCCCCACCACTTGGGCGGCTCGAGCTTGTGCATAGACAGGGCGAAGAAGATGACGAGGGTGGCGAGGGCGAGGCCCAAGTCGAGGCCGGAAGAGGTGAGGAAGTTGAGGCGCGACCACCAGTTGAAGTGGCGCTTGCGGATCCAGTACTGGAAGGTCAGGCCGACGGTGCCCCAGCTGAGGTAGTTGAGCGGGGTGGCGGGCGGGATGCTGCTGGGCCCGCCGAAGATGAGCGGGGCCATGAGGAAGCCGAAGGGCGAGCGGGGCCAGCGCTTGGCGCCGAAGTAGATGACGAGGGGGACGACGGCGCCGAGGGCGAAGAAGGCGAAGAGGCCCGAGTAGATCTGGCCCGGGGAGAACATCCGCGCGGGGCCGAGGAGGCCCCAGATCACGGAGGCGGCGAAGAAGACGCGCGCGCCGGGGCAGGTGAAGCGGTCGGGCTGGTCTGGGGTGCAGACGCCGTCGACGGTGTTGAGGGCGACGTTGAGGACGAGGATCTGGACCACGCACGAGACGGTGGTGGAGATGACTTGGGCCCAGAAGAGGGTCCGCGGGGGGATCTTCATGTAGTGGCCGAATTTCAGGTCGGCTACGAAGCTGAGCGCTCGGGACATGGTGATGTATCCAAACGTTTTGAAGCTAAAGAGAGGACGAGGTGACCAGTCAGCATCTTTGGTTGTTCAGGGGGCGGGAGTCAGGTCACGGTTGGGGGGGGGGGGGGGGGGGGGGGGGGTGGGGGGGGGGGGGGGGGGGGGTTGAGACGAGAACTCACATCATCAGCGCCAGAGGCCGGCCCGGCTGGAGGTATCCGTAGATGAACTCGGTCATCACGTTGAGGCCGATCTGGTGGTTGGTGACGGCCTGGATGATGCCGATGGGGACGGAGAAGACGAAGGAGATGCCCACAGAGAGGAGGAAGGCCCACCACGTCATCTTGGTCGGATATGCTAGCACGGAAACGAATCCCAAGGCGAGCACCTACACGCGGAGTATTCAGCTCTAGTTCAAGAGGCAGAAATCCTCATGAAGACACGGGACGGGTGAGAGGCATGCGGGAAGCATAACTTACAATGGCGAACAAGCCCCAGTACCACCAGCTGGGCGCTTCCTTGTACTTGCTCATGAGCCTCATGTGAATGTCTGGCTTCTCTTTCGCACTGTTCTTATACTGCTGCCAGATCTGCTTGCCGTTGTGCAAGTAGGTATAGACGATGAGTGAAGATATTGCCGCGAAAGAAAGGCCGTAAGACATGGCAAAGGTGGTGCTGTACTGAGTTAGGGCCTCCTATTCTTCTTCTCCTTCACCTCGACATGTAGAGCGATATTGTTTTCCCTTTCTTCCCCTTCGTTTGGCTTACCTGATAAACAGCGGAGAGTAATTGTTGTATGCCTCTTCGTTGAGAGTCATATCCTTGGTGAGAATGCGAGTCGTGTTGTAAGGCTTGCCGGTGTTGTCATACGTGCCCGAGTCGCTCATAGGCAAATACTCGGAATACCAAACGCCTGTATAATGGAGAAGGGAACATCCAAACAGGAAGAATACAACAACACCGATCAAAGTGTTTGCAATCGCCTCCCTGAGTCACCGTGTCAGTTTTTTTCCCTCTTCGCGTGTTCTCAACTGACAATGATGTGGGCGAGGAGGAAAGACTCTCTATCCCTTACCAGGGAGGAATCAGCGGTGATCCGATGAAGCCTGTGATCTGGGTCCAGTCAAAGGTGATGGGAAGGAGGGAGAGCCCGGTCGAGCCGCCGAACAGCTGGTTCACGACGACGTTGTTGGGGGCGATCCAAGTGACGAAGGCGAAGACGCTGAGACACCTGGCGAGATAGCCTGGGATCCAGTAGTAAATGAAAGCGCCCAATGTGACTAGACCAAACCACTTATACCGCGGCATCTTTCCTCCTATGATGGTAGGGTCGGGCCGGTCATTTCGGTCGTACATGGCGTTCATCAAAGTCACGGAAACCAAGATTCCGGGCCAGATCATCGAAGCAGGGTACACTAGGGGTCAACGAAGAATCAGCTTCAGACCGCGGGACAAGTGACAAGTGTGGATGCATATTATGCAGTTCTTTTAGTTCTTCAGCGGGGGCAAACGGACCGAGGAACTTTCTCAGAATACCGGCAATGCCGTATCCGAGGGATTGAGTAGAGACGGTCAGAAGCAGTTGGAAAGCGAAGCCAAAGTCCTGTTTATAAAAGACCATCTGCGCGAGAATAATGTCGGTGGCGTAGGCGACGGAGAAGGAAACGCTGGCCATGACGACAATGATGGTGTGCTCTTTCCGGTTAAAGGGACCGGGGTTAAGGCTCCAGGAGAGTCCGAACGTGTTGAAGCGTCTCGAAGGCATAATCTTGGACCAGCCATGACCGATGGGCCAGGCGATGATCTGGGCCACGAGGGGGCTGATGCCGATGGAAGGCGAGCGCAGGGAGAAGAAGGTGTTCATGGAGGCGCCGGCGACGACGAGGACCAAGCCGATGGTCCAGGCGCGGATGGTGTTGCAGGGGGCGTCTTCGTCGTAGTTTCGGACGGCGGCGCGGACCTCTGGGTAGGGCGAGTCCTCCTCGTCCTGCTTCTCCATGGCGGCTTCGTCGTCGACGAGGGGGTTTCCGTCTGCGTCTCTCGGTCTCGAATCGTAGTCGCCGGCCAGGGCGGGATCTAAGAGAAGTTCATGTTCGGATCCACGCTCATCATCGTCGTCGGCGTCATAATCAACACGCGCAAAGACACTCGACTGACCTCCCCACTGCGAGGGACTCTGCGAAGCACCCTTAGCCCGACCGGTGGTGCTGCTATTGCTTTCTACCAAACCCGGGGCCAAGGGATCATCATCGCGTCCGTCAACCTCGCGCCCGCTGGCCTGTGCCTGTGCCTGCGCTTTTGTCGGACCCAGTTCATAATCGTTGTCAGATGTGCCAGCGGCCGAAGCCGAGCGGCTTCCGAACAACTTGGTCATGGCGATATCGTTCTCTCTCCGCTGGAACAACGGGAAAATTCCGATATGACCAAACGACAAGAAAAGGCAGGCGTTACGGCATCAGAGGCAGCGGGGCTTCTTTAAGAGGGGGAAGATCAGAGTGGCTTTGCTATAGGAGCCCAGGCCAGGAGGATTCTGGACCAGGTTCGCCTGACAAAGCACGGAAGAGCGGCGTGGCGGAGGGGGTGAGAGAATGGCGCGGATATGGCCGAAGTGTAAAATCGACGGTAGCTGTAGTCCCTGGCGTTTGAAGACGATGATGATGTGGCCCTATCCCAGAACACGAATAGGTGATAGGTGATTGATTGTGTGATATTGTATTGTAATGATGATACCACGCTAAGGTATGACGCCCAAGCCCAAGGGTAAAGAGATTTGGCCGACACCGTATGATACCGGATGGATAGGAGATAGGGGCCGATCTATAGGCGGCACCTAAAAGATGAGATGTTTAAACGATGTGCGTCGAGTGAGCGGATGAGATGCGATCCTTAAGACACCAACACGCGTGCGTGTGTGGTCCCAGATACGAGGTTGTAGGGCCGACTATGGTATGCGTAACGGGCGGACACGGAGAGACGCCGAAGAGGTTATAGACAGGCGGGGAAGAGATAATGGCTGCTGACGCCTGGGAACGACTGGGTAGGCGATATGTCCGTAGTGTCCAAGCAAAATGGTCAACACGTTGCTGACGGTGAATGTTGGACCCGCGATTTGATATGGGGGTTTTTTTTATATGCTTCGACGTCAATGGACAGAATCGCACGATGGATAAGTCAATTGCAAAAAAAAAAAAAAAAAAAAAAAAAAAAAAAAAAAAAAAAAAAGAATGAGGTTAATATAGCCCTCAAAGAGTAAGCATCCTAGCAAAGGGTAGTCGAGGCTCCGTGGATTCGGGCCTCGAGCTGAATATGGGTTGAGGATGAAGCAACTCGGTTGAGAACAAAGGCACGTCGAGAGACTGAAAGACGAAAGACACGACGTGTTACTCTGTACTCTTTGTACCTAAGGTAAGGTACCTTATGTATCGAGCGGGCTGGGCCCTGTGGAGCCCTCAACCCCCAACCCCAATCCCGAAACAACCTGGAAAGCTGGAACCTCCACAGCTGGACCGAGCCGACGGGTATGGGTTCGTTGTTCTGACCAATAAGACACACCGATACTCGACTCCAGGGGTTCTCGAGATGCCCCAAGGCCAGAGTACGAAGTATAAAGTACTATGTAAGTACTAAGTACGTACCTGCATTCTGTATTCTGCTAGGGTACTTTGTTCACGCAGCTTAACGTTGTATGTATCAGGCGAGGTTTGAGGTGCCGACCAATCTTACATAAGCTAGGTGCCTTATTAGTTTCAACTGCCACGAGGTACGTTGTATGTACCCACAAGGCTCACAAATTGTGGCTCCCAACTTTGAGATGCCTTCTTTGTGAGGTCAGAGGTCATCCGAGCAGCTAATGACAGACATCTCAAACCCACGCCAACTTTCTCTCGACAGATAACTTGTCTATAAAAAGATAAAACGGACAGGACATGGGAGGATAATGCGACGGGTTGTCGTGACGGGCCTGGGAGCGATCACGCCCCTCGGCGTAGGTGTGAGGACGACATGGAATCGCCTCCTTGCGGGCGAATCGGGCATCACGAGCATAGCGCATTGGGAACCGCAGCAGCGATGGCGTGAACTGCCCAGCACCGTTTCTGGACTCGTACCTCGCGACGAGTGGCGGCCCTCCGACTGGCTCAGCGCATCCGATCAACGACGTCTGCCGACCTTCGTCCAATACGCCATGGCCAGCGCGCAAATGGCCCTCGACGATGCCGGGTGGAATCCCACCAAGGATGAGGACAAGGCGGCGACCGGTGTATGCATGGGAAGCGGCATTGGGAATCTAGAGGAGATGTACGAGACGAGCCTCGCTTTTCAGCAAGATGTGAGTCCACGGCTTTCTCCCTTTTTTTCTCTCTCTCTCCCTCTCTCTTTAGAACAGAAGAAATGAGAAGAAAAAAAAGAAATGAAAAAAAGAAGAAGAAGAAAAGACGAATCCTGACACACACAAAAAACCCGCGGCAGGGCTATAAAAAAGTATCCCCCCTCTTCGTGCCCAAAATCCTCATCAACATGGCAGCAGGCCACATCTCCATGAAACACGGCTTCCAGGGCCCCAACCACGCAGTCACGACGGCCTGCACCACGGGGGCCCACTCCATCGGCGACGCGAGCCGCTTCATCGCCTACGGCGACGCCGACGTCATGCTTGCCGGCGGCACCGAGTCCTGCATCCACCCGCTCACGTTCGCCGGCTTCGGCCGCGCCCGCTCCCTCTCCACCGCCTACAACCACGACCCGCCCGCGAGCTGTCGGCCCTTCGACCGCGCCCGCGGCGGCTTCGTCGTCGCCGAGGGCGCCGCCGCCCTGGTCCTCGAGGAGCTGGAGCACGCCCGGGCCCGCGGCGCCCGCGTCTACGCCGAGCTGGCCGGGTACGGGTGCAGCGCCGACGCCTACCACATCACGGCCCCGCGCGAGGACGGCACCGGGGCCACCATGGCCATGCGGGCTGCGCTCCGGCGGGCGGCTGTCGTTCCTGCGCGGGTCGACTATGTCAATGCCCATGCGACGGGGACGCAGATCGGGGACGCGGCCGAGGCGAAGGCGATCCGCTCCGTGTTGCTTGGCGAGGACGGGAAGGAGAAGGAGGAGGAGGTGACGGTTAGTAGCACCAAAGGTGCCATTGGGCACTTGCTGGGGGCGGCGGGGGCTATCGAGGCGCTGTTCTCTGTCCTCGCTGTCAAGGAGGTGAGTGTTTCATCTCTTCTGCCTTTGTTTCTTCGTGTCCCTTTCTTTTCCTTGTCCTTTTTCTTGGTCTTTTATTCTTCTTTGGTCTTTCACTACCCCCCTCCTCTGACCCTTCATTACATCTCGTATTCCTCTCGTGGCTCGCTGACAGGGGCCGTATAGAACATAGTCCCGCCAACGCTGAACCTCACACAACCGGACGTGGGAGTCGATTTCAATTTCGTTCCTGGAAAAGCGCAGGAAAAGGAGGTTTGCGTCGCTTTGTCGAATAGCTTTGGGTTTGGCGGTACCAACGCCACCTTGGTATTCTCTAAGATGAAGTAGCGAATGAACTGAGGTACGGAGTAGTCGTGGTCGCTGGGAGTATGGGCCTTGTCATTGTGAAATAGACTGTATATTTAGAACATGGAAGGAATTTGTGAAATTTGTGATACGAGCTGTACTAGCTCAGCAGCATGAAATATATATCCGGTTGGGAGAATACAATTGATGGGACTCCGATACCTGAATACAGAACAGGGTTGGTGATAGCTTCATCTCTTCCTTCACATGCCTGCCGCTCTGTCACCGACTACGGTAGTGTACACCGAGTAGGTAGGTACCTTATGAAGTGGGGTCCTAAGTACCTAGGTCAACGGACCCTCGAACGGAACCCGGTGTTTCTCCGACGCTAAACAACTGACTTAGTAAGATTCGCGGCTTCTACTTCATTGGAACTTTTTCGAATGACGAGTAGACGAGCAGACCACACCCACACCCACCCCCCCGAGTTTCCAATCCGGGGTCACCACCGCTCAATTCCTCCCTAATACCGCGACCCCAGTGTGCAGGATACACGTATTTGCTTGTTTCTATTCAATGAATTGCATCTAATCGATCCCAATTCCTTCACCTCGCAAAAACAAAAAAAATGGCTTGCCAGAGTTGCCGCCATGCTCGACATCTAGCAAGGAGTCTGCGCGTCTCGACCGACCTCAACATCCCCTCCTCTTCATCCTGCTCCTCTCCCTTCTCCTCCTTCTCGACCTCTTCAAGACCCGTGGCCGCCGCATCCGCAGCCATTCCAACAGCACGACGCCAATTCGCCCACTCGGCCTACCGCCGCGCCGTCTCAGGCCCCCGATCTACATCCCGACCGACCTCCCAATCGCCGTCATCTGCTCCCTCGAAGGCCTCTGCTGAACCCCCCCCGTCGTCAGATGCTCCTGTGGGCTCCGCTTCCGCGGCCTTGCGGAACGTCAGCTCCCGTCTAGCTGCTTACAACGCGATATCGACCCCTTATCTCCTCACCAGCTCCCTCGACAAGCTCTACAAGCTGTGCGCCGCGCCGGCGGCGTATACCATCTCGGAAGAGCTGCGGAGAAAGGATGAAGTGCCCCAGACGGCCGAGGGCGAGGAGTTGGGAACAGCTGAAGGGCCGTGGTTAGAGGGTGAGTTTCCTTTTTTTTCTTTTCCTTTTTTTTCTTTTCCTTTTTTTTTTTTTCCTTCCCTCTTCTTCCCTTCTTCAACGGCCAGTAAAGACCAAGACTAACCATGACCTCCCCTCCCCTTTACCCGCCTCTCACTCAGTCTTCAACCTCTCCCCCTCCTTCAGCTCGTGGTCCCACGTCACCATGCTGCACATGTACCTCGTGGTGGCGCGGATGCGGTGTCTGGAGCGCGACACGGCCAAGACCATGCAGGCCCAGTTCGTCGACAACTTCTTCTTCGACTGCGAGCGCGTCATGCACCTGAACCACGGCATGGCGTCGTCGGCGCTCCGCCAGCGCTACCTCAAGGACATCTTCATGCAGTGGCGCGGCCTGATCGCCGCCTACGACGAAGGGCTCGCCAAGGGGAGCGACCGCGTCCTCGCCTCGGCCGTGTGGCGGAACCTCTTCAAGGCCCGCGAGGACGTCGACCTGCGCGCCCTCGCCGCCATCGTCGTCTGGATGCGCCTCACCCTCAAGGACCTCGAGAACATGGATATCGAGAGCCTCGTCGCCGCCCCCCACCACGTCTTCCGCAGGGATCCCAGGGCCATGTTCCCCCTTGTTGACAGGCCTTGCGACGAGCTGAAGGCGCTGTACGATGGTTCTGCTCGCGTGGAGGGGGGAGGCAGTGCGCCTGCTGCTGCTGCTGCTGCTGCCGGTGCCGGTGCTAGTGCTAGTGCTAGTGGTGTTGGTGGCCAGGCGAAGACGGTGGAGAGCACCGGCTGAGCGAGAATCTCGCGATCATGTGGGGATTGGCTGGCCTGTGAGATGGTTGATGTGGAGGCGGATGGTCTGACTGATGAAAGATAATCTGTGTACGTGTGTATGTGGACACACATCTTGTAAAGCCATATTAGACTGTACCATTTTCATGTATGATAACAAAAGGGGTTGGTTGGTCATCGGCTGGGCATATTCGTCTTTCCCATCTACCATGTACGACGAGGAGCTGAGCGCTCCCATCACTGCAGGAGGATATGCACTGAACCGTGGAAGAGGAAAGGCCGCCATAAAAGAAGAAGAAAACGAAAAAAAAAAAAAAAAAAAAAGTAGCAATCATAAAAGTTTACTTACCCACCACTCCATATGTTCTCAGACAAATCGACATCTAGTTGTAATTGCTCTCCGTAGCCTCCCACATCTGGAACTCATAGCGCGTGCCGTTCTCCTCCTGCACACCCTCCTGGACCTCCTCACCCACCCACGCATCCAGCGCGGCCTTCTCCCTCTTCGCCCACCCCTTGACCTCAGATTCCAATCCCCCCCCCAACCCCAAAGGAAAGAAAACATCACACCCAAACTCGGGCTCCAGCACGCTGGTCAGCAACACCCGCTTCGCATACGCCGTCCTCAGAGCGGCGGCATAAATCTGCGCCCCGCCGATGACGAACACCTTCCCCACGGGGGGGCGCTCCGCGGAGGAGAGATACGCGATGGCCGCATCGAGGGACGCCACGCGCACCGGTTCCGTCGCGGCGGCGGTGGCGGTGGCGGTGGCGCCCGAGGACGCGGTGCCGAGATCGGGGTGCGAACGGCTTATCACGACATTGAGCCGGTCCTTCAAGGGCCGGAATCGCTCGGGGATGCTGTCCCAGGTTTTGCGTCCCATGATGACGGCGTTCATTGCGCCAGAGGGTGCCTAGTATGAATAGAAGAACAAAGGAGGTAAAAATGGTGTCAGTTTATGTCGAAAGGAGGATGAAGCTAGGAAGAAGGCGAGCAGGCAAAAGGGAAAAGGGAAAAGGGAAAAGGGTGTACCTGAGGTGAAAGACGCTTGGTGACGCGGGCAAAGTAGGCCATTTCCTTCTTGAGGCCCGTCCAGGGCAGTCCGCCGTTGAACCCGATGCCCATGGACCGCGTGGCGGCTACGATGAGGGTGAGCTCCAGCGCAGCCGCCGGGGCTGCCGAAGGTGTCATTTCGACGAGTATGGGGCCTTTCGTCTTTTCTTTCGTGCTTTTGTAACGTCGAACGGCCTCTCTTCTGTCGTTTGGGTTTGTTGCGCTGTTCCCGAGCAATGGGAAAATCTGGTTAGGTGTTTAATGTTGAATTGTTTATTGGATTTTACTCCGAGGTGCTCCAATAAGGTACTTACTCGACTAACTCGTGAGAGTCAACACCACCGGCGTCTCTGGTTTGGCCAGGAATAGAGTAAAATCTAATGAAAAACACTCTAGTTTTTTTTTTTTTTTTTTTTTTTTTCCTTCTCTCTTTTTTTTCTTTTTCGGCGCGTTTTCTTTTATTGTTTGATTTCTCCGATCTTAATCTTTCTTCCACTCGATTCTTCATTTTATTTTATTTTATTTTATTTTATTGCACTGTTCTTTTCCTCGGAGATAACATCTGTTGAGCTCACTCCAACACACACACAGCATCATATGACTGGAAACATCACCAAAAAAGAAAGGGCAAAAAAAAAAAAAAGGAAAAGCAATAGATATTCGTAGAATGACACCATGCGATGTCAGCTATCATTCGTGACCTAAGTATATGGATAGGCCATGCGAAGAACTATGCCTGCCATCACCTCAAAACGCCCATAACGCCAACCGTCCGTCATTCGCTCATCCTTAACCGATGCCGTGTACTCCGTAGAGATAATATAGTCGTCTCATAGGCATCACCCAGTCGTAGTTAGAAAACTCCCTCCCCTGCCACTCTCACTGCGGATGAGGAGGCAGTCAAATCGCCCTGTGCGATGAGACGTATGACGAGATAATTCCCCAACCCATAACCATGTTACCATACCATCTTTCGTGCGACAAAGAAATAAAAAGAAAAGAAAAAAGTCACCGAAGCTCGACCGAAGGAAAATACCTCGGACCCGCAAAGCCCTTGGCAATAACGGCCTGGATGTCAATGTTACTGCCCTCCCGGTTGGGGCTCCACATCTTCAGCAGGATGAACCGCCCCGATACTGGGGGGTCGAACCGGATGGTGCACTTGCTCTTGTCCTTCTCGATGTAAAACTTGGCGTGCGGCGCCATCAGCTCGCACCTGCCGCCCGCTCTCGGTATATCTTGTGTGGCCGTGGTCGTGGTCGTGGCCGCCGTCGCGGCCGCAGTCGTAGTCGCAGTCGCCGTCGTCGTGCCTGGGTACGTCCTCAGTGCCTCGGCGAGCGTCATGTTTCGCGTCCCTCCGCGCCGCGACGCTGGCGCCCACACGTCGTCAAATCCGTACTCATCGTGACCGATCGAGTTGCCATCGTCGCTGCTGTCGCTCTCAAAGGGCAGGGCCCCGATCCTGTTCGGGGCCCGCCGATGGATGCCCGCCCGGGGGTTTCCCCCGTCGCTCTCGTCATCGCTACACACTGTCGTCACGTTGAACGGAGACCCGTCAGTGGAGAACTCCGGGGGGATCTGCGCCGTCCCCACGTCGTCCTCCTCGTCATCGTCATCGTCGTCTCCCCCCATGCGGAACACCCTCCTGCTACGGCTGGATGTTCGGGTAACCACCGTCCCGTCCTCGTTGTGGCGGATGGAGATGATGGGAGCCAGCGGACGATGGTCCCTGCTGTATTTCGGTGGCGCATACGGAATCTGATACTGCGCTGTGCGGGTCAAGAGGTCATCTTGGTTCATCGCAACGAACACCATGCCCTCCCGTACACTGGCCGTTTCGATAAAAAAAAATCCCATTAGCGAGATTCAGCTGACAAGAATGAAAGGAGAACCGTCTGTACATACGGCGAGGAGTAGTTGCCCGAGCCGGGGGCCTTGATGATCAGCTCTTTGAGACAAAAGGAAGTTGCCCCTTGGTGCCGCAACACTATGTTGCACCGGCTCGACTTGGTGCAGTATACCGACTTGTCGTTTTTGAGGATGTTCTCGTAAGTGTAGGACGACCCGTTCGAGAACAGGCCGCCATCGCAACTTACAATCTCCATAGTCAAGTCCCCGGGCTCGACCTGGCCGTATCGTCCGTACCGGAAACCCTTGAAAGTCGGGGCGATCCGGTCCGACTCGATTTTGCGACGTTTTGCCCGGTAGTTATCTTCCGCATGTTCGTGCGGTCGCAGGCTTGTGCCTGTGCCCGACGACGACACGTTGAAGTGCGACAGAGACAGGTTAGAGGCATAAGGCGGCGGCGAGAAGGGCGAGAAGGCGTTTTGTGGCAGGCGCTCTAATGCGTTCCGAAAGGGATCGCCGGCGCCCAAGCCGGCAAAGCCAAGGTCGTCATCCCCGTCACCAGCTGGGGGAGCCGTCGACCGATGGGGGGTTCTGGCGGCAGCGCCGTTGGGACGTGAATGACGCCGGCGATCCTGCTCGTCGTTGAATGAGAAAGGCATGGCGAGGCGCCTGCGGTCGGGGCTGTCGTAGTTGCTGTTACTGTTGCCGGTATTGCTGCCGTTGCTTATCGGGGTATCTCTCCTGCCGGATACCAAATGGTTCGCCTGTGCCACGCTGCGCGCAAACTGTCGTTCCTGCTCGAGGAAGCGAAGGGTGCTGAAAGTCGAGGGGGTGAAGAGGCTAGGGTCGGAAATTTGAAAGTCGCGCAGCAACTCTTCGTACTCAGCTTGGAGATCCCAATCGGCCAGCTGACGGGTTCTACTCTGAAGGTAGTGATTCGGAGACTCTCCTGGGCGGTTTGCTGGGTTGTGTGGGTTCGATGCGAATTCGGAGTCTCGTATGGCGGCTAGGCGGTCAACCACTCGACGACGAAGCTGGGAGACTGCTGTTGATATCGAAGAAGTCTCAGGGTGCACGTCAAGATCCCTATTTCTCGCCCAAGATCTCCGAGGCGGGAGTCTGTGGCCGGAAGAGAAGGGCGGGAAATCGTCGTCTTGAGAAACTGCTGATTCTTGAAGGGTTCGCCGAGTAGAATCGTAAATCGAATGGCCGGCGCCCCGAGTCGGCATCCTTGGCTTCCCCCAAGCCCAACTATGTGTGTTTGTGTTGTCAAGGGAGCCAGGCCGATGTGCGTTCAAAGACTATTGTAGTGACCAGCTTTATGCCGAGACTTGAGTCCAAGGGCATAGGACGGGCCACATTGCTAACGGAAGGATCCCCTCCTCGATATTTGGGCGCAGAAGGTCGACGACCACAAAGGACTAGCGGTCCTCGGATCGAAGGGCCAGTCGGTCGGGGCTTCTGGTAAGTATGAAGTCGAAAGGTAGAAAGAGAATGTTTGAAAGGGTCTATTCGTTTGAAGAGGTCGTGGCCTTTTTCGTCGAAATGCCTTGCTACCTACAAAGCACGGATAGAAAGTGTGCAGAGGGAACGAAAATGGAGCTGGACGTATGTCGGGGACAAAAGAGAGGGGTACGTAAGGTATGGATAAGGTAAGCCCATGTGACGTGACACACACAGTGAGCCTACCTTAGGTGTTAGGTTCGTTACTGTGAGCAATGAATACCTAAGGTACGTTGAAAGGTACCGTCCACAGGCAACTTTATTTCCGATATGGGGTGCTGGAATGAGAAGGTGCCTCCGTACCTTATGAAGTAAGGTACAGATACTACGAAGTACCTTAGGTAGGTAAAAGAAGGAGAAGACAAATACACAGCTACTACGACATACCTGGGTCTCTTCACGACTTGTCCCGCACAAGGTAACCCAAGCCCATAAGCCTTGAACGCCTTTTGAGAGACATTCGTCGTTAAAACAACTGAGACGGCAGCTTGAACGAGGTCCCTAAACAGTACTCCGCACGGTGGGAGATATCATACGAAGTAGTCATTAGGTACGGAACGGGAAAGTGTGGGAAGTGGGCAAGATACAGTATCACGGCAGGACCCGTGGCGCAGCAAGTCCGACAAGGTGGCTCGCTCAACTAAAACCAAACAGGTAGGCGCACGGACCGGGTCAACGACCGACTTCGTTTGTTTCCCAAACAAGGAGGAACCATCGACCTACACCGACATGTTACCATGACCTGCCCAATCACAATCGCGACAGATCCCCTTGAGCTTCAACTTTAGCAAGCCCCAACAAAAAGTAAAAAAGTACCTTTCTCTTGTTCTTCTCTCCATCTTTCCACCACCTGGACCAATTCATCATGGAGAACCAGGCTCCGCGTCAAGATTACCAGGAACAGGAACAGGAACATGATACTCCCTCGGTAGCTGCTACTCCGGCTGCCATCGGACCGGCATTGGCCATCCCGTCACACCCACACCCGGCTCCCATGGACCAGGTCCTACCGGAAGCCCTTCAAGAAGTCGCGCCAGGCGCCGTTCCCGAAGTCCTTCCGGGCATGCTTCCTACCGGCGAGGCCTTCATGTCCCAACAGTCTCTTCCATCTGCTCAAAATCCTACGCCAGCAAGCAATGATGCTGTGCCAGTCATTACGTCTGCCGCCGCCGCCGCCCCTGCCGTGGTCAATGACGGCATCAGTGCAGGTGAGCCCATCCCATCTGCATCTCAGCTTTTTGACATGCATGCATCGTTGGCTAACCTGCTATCTCAGATGAAATTGCTCTGTATGACCGCCAGATTCGCCTCTGGGGCATGCAGGCCCAGGAGAAAATTAGAAGGGCCAACGTCCTCCTCATCACCATGAAGGCCCTGGGAAACGAAGTCGCCAAGAACCTCGTCCTCGCCGGCATCGGCTCACTGACCATCCTCGACGGCGACGTCGTCACCGAATTCAATCTGGGATCCCAGTTCTTCCTCTCCGCCGAGGAGAACCACGTCGGCCAGAACCGCGCCGTCGCCGCCGCCCCCGCCGTCCAGAGGCTGAACCCGCGCGTGGCCGTCCACGCCGACCCGGACCGCGTCGAAGCCAAGGGCACCAGCTACTTCTCCTCCTTCGACCTCGTCATCGCCACCGACCTCGACCCGGCCCCGCTCAACATCATCAACACCGCCACCCGGCTCCACCAGGAACCCTTCTACGCCGCCGGCACCCACGGCTTCTACGGCTTCATCTTCGCCGACCTCATCGAGCACGACTACGTCATCGAGCGCGAGCTCAGCAACATCGCCACCAAGATCGGGCCCGAGTCGCGCACCCGCGCCGTCGTCGACGTCCAGACCAAGACCGAGCGCGCCGGCAAGACCGTCGAGTCCGTCACCAAGCGCGAGCTCTACTCCACCTGGTACCTCTCCTCCGAAGCCGCCCAGCTCCCGGACGACATCGCCCGCAGCCCCCGCCGCCGCAAGGCCGTCCCGCCCGCCCTCTCCTGCCTCCGCGCCCTCTGGCAGTTCCAGTCCCTCCACGCCGGCCGCCTCCCCAGCCACACCAACGAGGACCTCGCCCTCTTCACCAAGCTCGCCACCGCCCAGCACGCCCAGCTCGGCCTCCCCTCCGAGACCCTCCGCTCCGAGTTCCTCCGCAGCTTCCTCCAGAACCTCGGCAGCGAGATCGCCCCCGTCACCGCCCTCATCGGCGGCCAGCTGGCCCAGGACGTCATCAACGTCCTCGGCCAGACCCAACAGCCCATCCAAAATACGGTCATATTCGACGGCAACACCATGGAGGCCGCCGTTTTCCCCTTGCATCCCCCCGGTCCCCTGGGTAAGGAACTCTTTTCCGTCGCCATGGGTAACGGCGCCATGGTGGATTCCGACGCCACTCCAATCTGATATTGCCCGTCGATGAATGTGGACCCTCCGTCCGGCTTGGAAGCGCCGGCGAGGCCACGATTGTTATTACTATTGCTGCTTCTATTGCTCTTCATTCGCGCCATGTTTTTTCCCTCCGCGGGATCGGCTGGTACTGACGACCACCAAACGGCGGCCTTTGGCTATGAAACACCGGATTACTGCGACTCAGCAACGAAGGCTTCATACATGGCGGGCGTATGGAAGGGTCGGATGGGAATAAAAGTAAACGCAGCCTACAATAAAATAAAGTAGCAGGGGGAGGACACAATGTGCTGTGTGTAATTATATCCTACTCTAGTCTTTTCTAGCTCCTAGAAACATGATGTGCCGAAGGGAGGGCCCGGCGCTCTCGTTGCAAAAATACAAAGACAAAAAAAAAAAAGAAGAAATACCCAGTCCGAATATCCTCACCACACCACGGTGGCGGTATTCCTCACTCTTGACTGATGTCAAAGCAACTCTCCTTCTTCATCATATTACTGGTATTTCACAACGCTTCATGTAGCAATAGTATCAATTAATGCACTGAGGATTGCTCGCAGCATGTTTCCAAATCGTCAAAATGCCTGCCCTATTTTTATCCCTCTTGTTTCCATGATGTACATACATGCACGAATGCCTCTCTCATGTTCTGTCCGCTCTCCATTACCCTTTTGCCCCTTAGCCTGAAGGGGTTTCGTCTCTCTATCATCCAACCAAAAAAGAAAAAAATCCCCCACCCCACGAAACTCCCGTCTATAGTACAAATGGTGTCGCGGTCTTCTTCAATTGACCGAGGGCGAAAAATAAACCAGAAAGTGGCAAAACAAAATATGCAGAAAACAAAAACGCTGGGTTCTTCTCTGTTCCGTTCCTTCGCATGTCGTGACCATTTGAGGACACGGCGAAATTCATGTACTCAATGAAGATCCTTAGGATTTATGGCCCGAAGGCCATACCGCGATTTCGACCCCTTCTTCACTGTCGTAATATTCACCCCTGCCACTTGGGACGGACGAGCCGTCGTCAATTCCCCCTTCTAGTTGGATTCGCGACGCTCCTGACCTCCAAGGCTCCTATTTGACTTGTGGGAATATTGGTTCCACGACCGGACAACCTGCGGTCCACGGGCCGGCGGTTGCTCTGTAGGGGTATAATCCTTGATGTTCTCACCGGGGACGTATTGAACCGTCCGCAGCTCCTGGGCCTGCTGTTGGCCCTGGCGGTGGGCGGGCAGCGGGGCGGGTGCCAGCTCCCGATATCGCCCGTTGCCAGGGGTCGAGGCGGCGCTGCCTGTCCTCGGTCGGATGGGGCTTCCATAGTCCGGGTTGGGGTTCATCGACTGCGCGGCGAACGGCATCATGGATGGGGCCCCCTGTGCGGGACATGGGGCGATTGGAGCGTAAGGGGAGGCCAGAGGCTGTGGGCTGGCGTAAGCCGAGTAAGGCGACGGCGCCGGCACCGCAGGACCACCAGGGGTCATGGTAGAAAACGGATGGCCCATACCGGGCTGCGGCCTCGTCGGGGTGTTGTCGTGGCCAATGCGGCTCATGCCATGACCATAATAGCCGTTGCTGGTGTCGGCAAAAGACTGGTGCGGGTGGGGGCGCAAAGGTGGGAGAGATGGCGGACCATGGGCGTGGTGGGGGTTCGCAAAAGGCATACGCGAAACCTGTGTATGACTAGGTCGAGTGCGCAGTGGAGGGAGAGAGTTGTGATGGTGACTGTAGGCCATGGGATACGGCTCTGGATGAGTTGGTGCCCTGTGACTGACCTCAGCTCGAGGCTCCATGGCGGGGTATTGCACTCTGGGCGATCCGGTATAAGCCGGCCGCATGGTAGAGATCTCTGTAGGTCGAGCAGGGGTTAGGTCGTGGGGATGCATCGGAGGCCGAGCAGGCGCTTGCTCCGCAAAAGCAGCGGAAACACGAGTGTGACGGGTGCGGGCGCGGGTGGGATTCTCGACTCCATTATGAGGAGCGTCATGGTACGTCGTCGGTTTCAAAGCCAAATCCTCGACGGAAGGGACGGTGAAGCTCGGGGTACGCTTCTGCACAGGGGGTTCCCTCAGGCCAGGCAGGTTATCGCTCTGGATGGTAGACCGTAGTGAAGAGTCTTCGGCGGCATGGGGGAAGCAGGGGCGCTTCTTAGCCGGCCCAACTGCCACCAACGGATCCTCGTCTCGCAGCAGCTTCGAAGACTGACCTGACGGTTGGGGGGACGAACTGCACACGTCTGCTAATATGGACAAGTTCAGGGTGCCCGGAGCTTTCGGCGGCGGCCGGACGGGGGGGGCATGCTCAATGACCATATCACGGATGGCGTCATACGAGCGCGTAGCTGGACGAGCAGGCGCCGGGGCGACAGCAGAAACCGGGGCGGAAACAGGTGCCGGAGGGACAACAGGAACAGGTGGCGGGGCGGCGGCAGGGGTCGGGATAGGTGCTGGCTTGAGTTCAGGCTTGAGTTCGGGCCTGGGTTCGGAGGAAAGGGCGGCGTCTAGCAGGGAAGCTACAGCCGCGGCATTGGCGGCAGAGTCGTTCGCTGGGACAAAAGCTGCGGAAACCTCATCGCGGGGCACTGCCCCTGAAGTGGCGATTGGTTCCGAGGGGGTAGTCGCTCTCGAGGGGGGCATAGTCTCCGGGGAGGGCACCGCTTCCGGGGAGGGCGCCGCTTCCGAGGAGGGCACCGCTTCCGAGGCGAGCACCGCTTCCGAAGGTGGTTCCATTTCCGGCTGCTCCTGCGGTTCGGTAGAAGTAGTCCGCTCTCTCTGGGCAATTCTGGAGCGGATCTCGGGCGTCTCGATTTCTTTCGCGTCAATTCCTTCGGCAGCGCAGATGGCATATAGGGAAGCGGCCACGCGTCTCTGCATTTGCTTCTCTTCAATGGCCTTGGAAACTTTCGAGGGCAGCATGGTACGGGAAGCATGGATCGTCTGGCCTTCCGGGGTTATATAAACAATCGGGTTATCGCCCGCTACGACGGGCCTGGGCTCTTCGGCGTCGTTCTTGCTGCGAGGCAGGAAATATCCATATCTCGGGTGGACTCGATGCCGCTGGACGAGCTCCTGGTCCATGTCTTCCTCGCGGATGGTGCGGGCGTCATGGCGTGCCAGCATCGGATCGTAATGCCAGGTATTGGTGCCGTTCTTTCCGAGGTACTTGCCGCGCTTGGCGAGAGTAGCAGCACGAGTGGGATCGTTGGTCGAATCTTTGTAACCAATCTCGATGGGATCAAGTTCCCATGACGGAGGGACGATAATGCGGTTGTGAATGATCTTGCCCCGCTCGATTTCCGTCTTGGTGGGAATTCTGTTCACCTGGCGACATCCGTACTCGTCGGGTTCCGAGGCAAACGGGGGGAGAGGCGGGTCCCGGTCTTTAAGAGGGATAGGGCCAGTAGCCGCCTCATCAGGGGCCGGGGTGCTTTCCCCCGACTGATCTTCCGACGCGGCCGCGTTCGTGTTGGGCTGTGCGGACAACAAGCCTTGGGTATGCTGCTGAACAGGGGCCACCTCGGCGGCGGGAGTATCGGCCGAGGGTTGCCGGTCTTCGGATTCGGTGTTTTGGCTGCCCTTCTTCGCAGCAGGTTGGCCGTCGGGCTGATCCTTGGCCTTGCGCTTGGGCTGAGCCTTGGGGGCTGTTCGAGACTTGGGTTTTGTGGGAGTGGCAGGTCGAGCATGGGCTGCTTGCCGCAAGGCATACGCTTCCGTCCCTTCTACCAATTGTGGGTATGGGACGAGATGGCCGTTATGCCATACCTCATAAGGGCCGAAGTCATTGGCCTCTTTGTCTGTGATGGGCTTATAGTTGTATGACTCGTCGACGGTCTGGGAGGATTATTAGTCATAATGCAAACAAAGTATGGTGCAGCAAAACAAAGCAAGCAACCGACATGCTTCACAAGATGTTTGTGGCAAAGGGCATGATAGAAGCGGAGGGCCCGTGGATATTAAGAAAGGGCGGGAAGCGGCAAAAAGAAGCCGAAAGGGACAAGAGGAAGAGAGAAAGGAAAGTAAAGGAAAAGAAAAGAAAGAAAAAGAAAAAAAGGAACAAAGAAACGAGGAGAACAAAGAAAGAGGAGCAAGGAGCAAGGAGCAAGGAGCAAGGAGCAAGGGAAAGTTTCGAGACGTACATCGACGGGCAGGTCCTTGTCGTGGAGTTCCTCAAGCAAGTCCAGGCAGCGAATCTGTGCATCCAAGAAGCGATCCTCGGCATCTTCGTAGTTGTTCTGTGAGAGGATGCAAGTAAGCGAAAGGCCCTCACGACATGGTACGGACGGAGAAGTTGGAGGGGCCAGGCGATTTATTTCCTGTCACAGGATCGAGGTGGAAAAGATTGGGGAAAACAACTTACTTTGTAGATGGTATGCAGTGCAGCTATGATTTCTTGGTTCTGTTTGATCTCGTTCTCGACGTCGTACCGACGGCGGTTCTCGGACAAGTGATTCTGATGCTCAAGGCGCTTCTTGAGTTGATCTCTGACTTCTTGGTACTCGGGGGCGCGCTTGTGGAAGTCGCGGTCGGTCTTCAGAGCTTCTACTTCTCTTTCGGCCAGCTCAACTAGCATGGGCTTGATGAATTGGGAGAGTTCGTTGTAGTAGGCTTTGAGCTCGCGTTGACGTTCATAATAGGCCTGAACCTTGTCATCGTCGAACTGTTTGGTTCGGCCGCGTCGCCCACCGACGGCCTTTTTAGGCGCGACAATGGTAGCGGCCGCGGCGGTCTTCTTGTTCGCAGCACGTTTTCGACCACGGCCTCGTCCTTTTCCTTTTGGCGTAGCCTTCGGAGTCGGCGTTGGGGTGGCGGATGCAGATTGATCTGCGGGATTCTCCGTGATATTCTCCGTATCAGACATGATGCCAGGTAGTGGAATACATGAAAAAAGAGTGTAGACGACCCCAAAAAAAAATCCGGAAGATTCACACGGAGAGAATGGGGAGTGTGCGGGAGGGATTGGATGATTATAAAGGGATAAGAGGACGTAGAATGGAAACTCTTGTGGGTGTGGGATGGATAGTGATAGAATAGTGCCAAGAGAGGGAAGAGGATATCTTCTACGACTTGGGTAAACAGGACCCAAAAGCCGAGCTGACCTGCTGAAGAGTTGGAAGACAGTAGTAGGTTGTGACAAGGAAGGTTATGCCACGGTCCACGCTGTCCTTGGTTGTGGGTAGATGAGTATGTGAGTAAGGTCAAAAAGCAGGCTGAAAAAGCAGCGTCGGGATGTGTGGGCAGAGAGAGACAGGCGAGCTACCCGAGCTTCAAGTTCTCGAGGCTTGGAAGGGTAGGGAACAGAGTAAAAGAAAATAATCCGAGAGGATGGAATGGGATGGGGGGCAAGAAATCTGTACGTGTATGGAGAAGTGAAAGAAGGGTGAGGACAAAGGGCTGAGGGAGGAAAAAGAGGTAAAGAGGTAACGAGATGTGTTCGCCCAGATGAGAAGGCACCAAGTATAGAGGTGTAGGCCTCGTGCTGTGGGCTATTTTTTCTTCTTCTTTCTTTGCCGTGCTTTCCTAACAGGGCCGCGGAATCGTGACTGGCAAAGTGCAAAGGCAAAGAAAACTTTAAATCGGAGTCAAAGCCATCGATTGTAGAACAATGTGACGTGCCTCCGGGGAATAGGGCGAGGCTGCGATGAATCGATGGTGAGAATAAGAGAAAAACGAGAATCCACCCTTTGGTGTCAGTTGGATTCTGGTGGGAGACCCTACAGTACAGGTACGTGCAGCCTCGATGCCTTGCTCGTTGCTTTGGTCTTTGGTCAGTTGCTCCTTCTACGCCTGGGCCGGCGCCCTTTTTCCCGCCTCGTTACCGGCAATAATACACGTACGTTACGGAGGTAAAAAGGTACGTACCGAGCCTGGTACACGGGTACCTTGGTACCTGCTTTTAGGGAATCGACTTTCGTACCCGGAGGCTACAGTGCAGTCAGTAAGGTACTACCTTAATTGGGGAAGGCGACCGCCGGCTCTGTGCGTCTTTTTCCCAGTTCCTCTTCTTTCTCCGTTTCTATATATTCCTATATATTCGCGATATGCCACTTACTCCGTAAATACAGTAATTCTATACTCCGAACTTTCCTGTCTATGTGTACAGCCTTCAAGTCCCCTTTAACTATTTCCAACCGCACCCTCTTTACCAGGGCCGAAGCGAAGTACCCTAAGGTAGTGTACATCACTGAGATCCCTGAATCCACAACAAATCCCAAAAGATAGCCGCATTCAAGATCGACCAATCCCGCAAGAGACTAGCCAAAAGACGTGGTGTGATTGGCTCGGAATGCTGGATAATCCGCCAAGTCACCAAAATTGAAATGTTAAATCACGGCCTATCCTGTTTTGATAGTGGAAAGTAGCCGATACTTTCTGTAGTCTTGGGGGTGTGTGGTGAAGCCCTCCTCGAGTTGCGAAGTAGACGATGGAGTCGACCAACTTGCATTGTGATCGTACTTCTTTATATCTTATTACCGTCTATAGGACGAATAGAACTATCCCTCGTGACTGGAAAGTCGTTTTCTATCGCGAGCTTGGCCACTTGTTTCCCGATTTCAAGCTTTTCAGACAACCACATCACATGTACGAAGGAGGAGGGATGGCAAACGGTCGAGGAAAACCACCCAATCAGGGTGATGGCACAAATCCCTAGGTACGTACGATGAAATCAGCCGAAGGAAGGGTCACTAACTCTTCATCAGATATAGGGAGGGGTGACTCTCAAAAGGCTTGTCAAGCCTTTGAGGCCTCGAGAAATAAAAGATGTTTCCCTTCCAATGTACAAATGTGAGATGGCTCGTAAGCTCATATATGTTCTTATTTGCCTACCCACAAGTATCCGGGTCAGACAATGACGCCTTGTTCTGATACGCACCATCATGTAGACACTGTATGAATTATTCTGGTCCTAATACATCTACCATTTTGTGGTAGAACCAGTACGCAAGCCAATAACTTTTCGGAGCTACAACCTAGAAATCAGGCTGTTTATCTCTCTCCTTATGCATATATCCGACAAACATCCGACAAGGAGCGTTGCTGGTTAAATACTCTCAACTCTTACCATCAGACTTCAGCCTACTTGTAGTTACGCCATTTCTATCCAGTTTGATGGTCATGTCATCCTCCCCTTTGGTGTTATCGAGCAAAATGTAACCGGTACTTTGGTACCTCCGGAGGTTCCACAAAGGCAAAAAGGGCACGGCACGGCTCCACTTGACTTGGGGGTTAGGTCATTCCCGAGCCGCCCGGGTCCGGGAACCAACCGCGCGTGTTGCTGCGGGTACGTACCAGCGCGTCTAAATTCAGTTTCTTACCATCCATCCCGACTCGTCGATCAGTGATCACTGATCCAGGGTCCAGGCCGGTGTCACCACTCCTACTACCTAATCTCGCCTAACCCCCAGACCCTACTTCCGTCACGACTTCCTCTCACAATGGGCAAGAAACGAAAGGTCAGCTCTCGCTTCCCAGACACCCCAGGCCAGAGGAAAAAACCCAAGCCCGGGAACCATGCCGCTCCGCCGCCATCCAAGCAGCGACAACAGAACAAGACGACAGGCGGCGGCGACCAGGGCCGGGGAAAGAAAAAGTCCCAACACCGCCAATTTCACTCCAATCAAGCCTCTATTATCCCGTTCGAGCCGGACGATCCCATCCTTCTCGTCGGCGAAGGCGACCTCAGCTTCGCAGCCAGTCTAGCCGCCCACCACGGCTGCACCAACCTCACGGCAACAGTTCTCGAGAAAAACGAGCGCGAATTGCTAGCCAAATATCCTCACGCGGGGGTCAACATAGCCCAGATTCTTGCGCCGAAACCCAAGCATTCCCCACCAGAGGGGGACGGAGACAACGCCGAAGTCGCAGATATCGCAGAAGACGTCACCGACGATCCCTCCACAGACGACGAGACAAGCCGCACAACAAGAGGCAACGCCAGAAACTCCAACAACAACAACAACAACAACAACAACAACAACAACAACAACAAAATACTCTACAACGTGGATGCCACCCACCTCAAAGCCTTCACCACAAAACCCCCCCGCCGACCACCCCCCTCACAACCCCCATCCTCCCGCCGCCCCGCACCCCCCGTCCAAAAGACCGGCCGCTTCCGCCACATCATCTTCAACTTCCCCCACGTAGGCGGCAAATCCACCGACCTCAACCGCCAAGTCCGCCACAACCAATCCCTCCTCGTCGCCTTCTTCCAGCGCGCCGTCCCCTCCCTCGCCCCCGGCGGCGACATCATCGTCACCCTCTTCGAGGGGGAGCCGTATACCCTCTGGAACGTCCGCGACCTCGCCCGCCACGCCGGCCTGGGCGTCGAGCGCAGCTTCCGCTTCCCGTGGCCTAGCTACCCCGGTTATCGCCACGCGAGGACCTTGGGCGTCGTGAAGAGCCGGAGTGTGCGGGAGGCGGAAGGGGGGAAGGGCCGTCGTGGCAAGGAGGGGGAGATGGAAGACGAGGGGGAGGGGAATGAGAGCGGGGAGGGATCCGACGAAGCCCTGGACCAACACGACCATGGCGATGGAGGAGAAGATCGAGGAGAAGAAGAAGAAGAAGAAGACGACGACGAGGAAGAAAAAGGTGGAGACGGGCTCCGAACGGGAGAGAGCAAGACTGCATGGCGAGGGGAGGACAGGGCGGCGAGGAGTTATGTTTTCCGGAGGAAAGAGGAGGTCGGGACGGAAGAGAAAAAGAAGAAAAACCAGAAGAGCGATGATTCGGACACGGATTGTGATTGAATTTGACGGACAGAGATTTCGGAAAACATATCGCCGCTATCATTTTGATGAAAGGAAATCTCACGATACCCATGGGGTTGGCTCAGGGTACACGGGTTCGACAGCGAAGACATATACTATCTATCATATTGCATGGGCAAAGAACACCGAATCGTCTATATCTTAGGAGAGAAGAAATTGCCTCCAGCAAATTCCAGGTTCTATCTGGGCTCTGACATGCCATACAGTCAATGAAGGAGCTGCTTCGGGGTGCTCGGCGAGTCCAGAAAAATCATCAGAAACAAGAATTGTTCCTCTCCATTCTCCTGTCATGAGCATGAAAAGACGTAAATATCTTGTGATAATACAAGTGATCTATACTATACGAGGAAAATAAACCGAAAGTTCCGGGTATGTCCAGTAGGCTAATCCTCCGTCATAATAACGCCCAATCCTGTCCTGTTGGTTGACCGTTTAACCATCCTAACATCAGGAGGTGGAACAAATCTGCATGCTAGTCCCTGCTCCGCGGGCCGCGGGCCGCGACTCGTCATACTTGGGGCCTCCCTGGTCTTGGGTGAATCATCCCATTCCATACAAATACACACCCAGCAAGTGAGCACCGAGATACCAAAGACGAGCCATTCACGGCGTCTACCTCCTGTTAGAGCGCAACCCCACCCCCGTTCGGAAGTAAGAGTAACGAAGAGAAATTTCCCGCGTACAGTTACAAGTCCTATGTGGCACTTCCACCAACTGGGCCCCCGTTTTCCGTTTCCACAGTTCTCAATTGCTGCCCCAAGACCCGATGGCTTCACTCGTTCCTGTGACGGCCGTTGACAATGGGTCGCCCCTGGTCCCCTGGAGCCGGGACGCCCGTTTTCCTCCCGTTGTGGTCGCTAGCAGCGGCGTCTAACCGCAACGCTTCCTCATTTTCTCTCATCAGCGCCTCTTCCTGTTCGCGCAGCGCCTTCTGCTCCGTGGTGAGCGCTTCCGGCGCGCCGCCGCCTTCGGGACATACCTCAGGAGGCGGCGGCGGAGGCGGCGGCGGCGGTGTAATTATGTCGTTGTCGTTCGCATGAGCCTCGTCTTCCCTCAACCGCTTCGCCGAGGGTGTCTCGGACGGTGTTACACTCGCCGAAGCGGCCCCCTCTTCGCTCCCACGTTTTCTCTTGCGCTCCTGGCTGCCTATAGAGGCGGCCGTCTCGGCATCAGATACAACGGCGTCGCCGTCGTTACCGTCCTCGATGACCGAATCAGCCATGGGCTCGTCCTCATTTACGGCGTCGGCCAATTCTGCTGCTGCTGCTGCTGCTGCTGCTGGAGCCGGGTGTTTCATCTCCGCCTCCACTGCCCCCTCGGCAGAGCCGTTCTGCTTGGCTGTCTTCTCCGCCTTTCTACTCTCATAGTCCCTGAACTTGACCACGGCGCGGTCCAAGAAGTCTTTAACGTACTGCTTGACCTTCTTCTCCTGCTTGGAGCTGAGAGGGGCCGTCGGGTCCTCGACGCGACTGTTCTTGTAATCGGACGACACCAGCTTCTTGTTGACGTCCCGGCCAAATTTCTTCAAATCTTCTTTCGGAAGCTTGTGCTTGTACTTGTCGAGAACATATTTCACATGTGGGAAAAGCTGCTCCGGGAAGAGTTTTCGCGCGGTTAGTATGCAAAAGACGGAAACCGTGACATATTCGAGAAGCGAAAGCTCGCGGAAATTGACGTACCGTGTTCTCATAGATCTTCATCTGCTTTTCAACCGACAGGGAACGCCATTTCTCCTGTTTGGTCTCCTTTACCGGGACTTCTGCTTGCTGCGGGGTACCCTTGTCCGACGACTTGGGCGTGGTGCGTTCCTTGGTGACCTGGTCGATGATATTCTGGAGGAGCTGCTGTTCCTGCAAGACCTTGGACGTGGCCTTTTGCAGCTCGGCGGCTGGCTTATTGGGACGCTGCCACGTCGTCGCGCCGGTCTTGTCATAGAAATAGACGTTGCCGCGGGCGTCCTTGGCCGTGAACCACCCTTCGGGGAGCTGACCGTTGAAGTTGTTCTGGGGCCGACGATGATGCCGGTTGCCGGTGTAGAAGCTGGCGTTGCGTTGGGGAACATTGCTCCTGGGTCCCTTGGGGACGTCGGCGCCGAAGGTCGGCTCCTTCTTGGGCCGGTCCTCCTCGCGGTCCATATTGCGACGCTCTTCAAAAGAGGGTATTGTCGTCGCGAGAGAACCCGGTGCATTGGGGTCGATTTTGCGTCTTCTCTTGATGCGAAAGCCCACTTCGAGCTTGCCCCACTCCTCGAGCAGACGCGTCGCCTCGGCGGCCACGCTCGGGTGTTCTGAACGGGTGAGGGCTTCGATGGTGGTTTCGATCTTGGAGTCCTGAATCTTGTTCCGGGTCAGGCGAGGGAACTTGTCGAGAATGTTCAGCACCTGCAGAGAGACATTGTTGTCGTCGATGAAGGTGTTGAGCGTCGTCCTCAAAATCTGGTAGGCGTGCATTCGCATAACGCAGGTGATCACAGCAGGATCATCGCAGCGCTGGATGCGCTCCAGCAGCTTGACGGCGATCCACTTCTCCTTGCACTGCATGAGAGTGGCCATGACCTTCCTCGCGCCTTCTTCGTCGAGCCCGCGGGCTTCCACACGATTCACGTACTCCTCGTCGTCCTCTTCGGGCTTCTTCTTGCGCGGCTTCTTCGCCACGGCGATGTCCCAGCTGTCGCCATCGTCAATGCCGAGAGCTTCCACCGTGGCCAGAGGCAGCTTCGTGGCACGCTCCGTCTGGGTCTTGCCGCCGATGTAGCCCGTACAGTTGGGCTCCCCGCAGTAGCAGGGCTGGGGATCGGCGCCGTAGCGGTCCACGTTGTAGTTGAATACCAGTTCTTCTCCCGCCTTGACGGCCCGGGCGGAGAAGATGCCCATGCGCAGCTTGTCGCCGACAACCCACTTGTCGACATAGCAATTGGGGTTGCACGAGTGGTTGCAGAAGCGGCCCAGGTTACCCTTCTTGGTGGCATCGACGAACTCGTGCTTGGTGAGAGACATGAAGTAGAAGTGCTTGATGTTCTCCTGGTCGTATTGGACCATGCGGCGACGGAAGGTGGGTTCGTTGATGACCTCGCCAATGTACTCGAAGATAAAATCGTTTGGCTGCAAATTGACGTTGGTGCGGAGGCCGTAGCCCTTCTTTTCCGTCTTGATGACGGAGACGTTTGCGTATACCTTGCGCTGAAATCTTTGGTTCTGGCAACCGCCTGCGCAGTTCCCCATGCCAACCAGACACTCCATTTTCGTGGCGCGGTTGATACAGTCGGAGTCTTCTCCACAGGAATGATTGATGCCGTCTCCTGTATAGGGGAATTATGTTCCGTTAGAATAGTTTGATATCCAGGAAGGAGGAAAAGGCAGACACATGAGGGAAAGGACGAGGAGTAGGAAAGGTAGCAAAGCAACTCACGTAGGTCCTCACGGCAATCACAATCGAGGGCATCGTTGTCGGTAGAACCCATGTTTTTGGAGCCGTACAAACAGTCAGGAATCACCTGAAACCCCTGACAGGACTCTTCGGTGGCATCGGGAAGGTCATTGTATAGAGGAGGATCCCTCTGCGCGAATTTCTGAGATGTTTTGCGTGATGGTTTCGCAGGCTGGCCCGCCTCTGGGGTCGACGCGCTCTCGCTACGGAGCTTCTCCTCAGTCGGAGAGCTGCTGGGAGGTCGCGATCCATTCTTGCTGTCGTTCGACGTAGGGCTCGTTTCGTGTTTGACGCGAGTGCCGTTGACGGCCACTGCCACTGCCACCGCCACCGCCACCGCATCGGCCGTCTTGTGTTCGTCCATGGTCGTGCTCGCTAGTCCATCATTATCCATAGGTTAAAGTTCCCGTACAGGGGCGGGCGAAAGAAAGTGGCGCTTGCTAACTGCGAGGACACGAGGCAATGGGCGAGTTGGCTACGTAAAGTAGTCCGCTGAGCGTCTTGTGTTGGTTTCTCTTCGAGTTGAGCACCTTTTTTTTTTTTTTGTTCTTTTCTTTCTTGTTCGTGCGGTGGCGTAGGAGGAGGATCCAATGCACTGGAGCAAGCGCGGAGAATAGGTTCTTGATTGGGTGGGCGCACGCGAAAAAAAAAAAAAGAAAAAAAAAAAAAAGGCGTCGGAAGGAGAGCGACGAAGTGAGTAACCGACGAACGGATTATAAAATCGTCCCTGGTGGAGATGGAGCGAAAGAAAGTTGGCGGAAGGGGACGTAGGGAAGTCGGACTAGGTCAGAGATGTCAGAGGTTGTCAGAGGTCGGCTGCGCGGTCAATGAATTCTTCTTAAAATGGCCGGCATTGTAGTTGAAAAAGGTCGCAAAAGAGTGAACCGGAAATTTTCGAGATGGGGGCCTCGTCAGTCCGTAATCGGTGGCGGCAGCAAGATCCGAAGCACCTTACTTGTATGAAGGTAAGGTACGGTAGGTAGCAACGGTGGGCACTGTAACTTTCTTCATGCGCCAGGAAGGCTGACAGAGCCGAAGTGAAGCTCTTGGTTGCGGCGATGGTGATGGTGATGACCCGTACGTTGTACTGTACTCGGTACGGACGAGAAGTGGTAATAGCTCGTGGGTGGGAGCGATGGCGGCGGCGCGAACTTCTCACAGCGGGTCGCGGCCTGTTGGCTGTTTTGACTCGGGGTGGCCCGTGGGTGGTGGGTGGGGGGATCGAGAATGTACCAATCCAAGTATCCGTACCGAGTAATACGTATATCCTGTAAAAGACGCGTTTTACTGCGACAGAAACTCCGGAGAGCAAGGGAAGCCTTGGAAATCAACTAAGAGACGACTAATACCTAGTGGGCGACGCGATGGAATCCCACTTGACTCTCTATCCGTATCCGAATTAGAATGGTGACAAGTCGAGGAACTATTCAAAAGCCCATGATCGGCGGAGAATCCATTCGCCGTAACGCCGACAACCCGGGGAACCGTTCAGTGGCCCAGAGTACGGATACGGAGTAATTACCAATTGAGCCGAGTCAACAACTTGACGACCACCTCTCCTTCGCCTCAATCCCAACACAACCAGCCGATATATCCATGTCTCCTCATGGATACCTTTTCATACCCGTTCATGGAAATAACTCACAAATTCCGAAAACCTGGAAAGTCGCCATTTTGATAACCCACACCAATTATCAGGGTCCCGTCCCACCATCCATCCGTACCTGTCTGTCAGCAACTCCAGCGGGGATGGATCTTGGATCTCAAAGTTCTAACATGAGGGGCAAGGAAGAGTTGCAATTCAAAATGACAGGACACCTACTTTTAGGAAATTCCAGGAAGCTCATATATGGTCCGGGTCCGGAGTCCATTGTAAACAAGACTGTACCATAGAATGGAGCGCAGTAGACGTTTTCTTCTCGTCGGACATTGGCTTGTCTGCCAACCCTGAACATTCTTGCCTTTGATGCCATAGCTCCTCACTAAAGGGCATTTCTCAGGCCTGGCTGTAAGCTAACGAGGTTGCATTCGCTCGAGGGGCGCTATTGGCTGGCTCATCTTCTTTCTTAGAAGGCTGCCTAGTATCGTAGGCGAAACTTGCTCCCCTGCTCACCGACTTTTCCATGTCCGCTGGGAACACCGAAAGAGCCCAGGGTTTTTCGACTCGATTAGGAAGTTGCAGCAGCGCAGCAGTAGTACTACAGACGCGTCCAGCTCCTAAATGCCGAGTAGCTACTGAAATACGGCAATATGCCCCCATCAGGTCTGGCTACATTGGAGGTGAAGGAGTCCCATCCAAGGCCGAGGACCTCGAGTGATGCAAACCAACACCGGCATTCCTCGAATGACGCCAATACCCAGCCTCTTTGGGAAACTTCGAAACCAGGGACACGGCGAAAAGGAAGTGCATGCCAACACATAATAGTGAAGCCAGCTTCTAAGATCTCGAAACCGTCTTTCTTTACCTCGAACCATTCAGAGGCACTGAACTGCGCCGAGGTGGGTCCTGGTGGGATGCTGCCAACGCATTATGCAGGAAAAGATCTATCTGGAAATGCCTTGGATCCTTGGGTCCTGAAACAGGCGAAGGTATACATATATATAAAGCAACGCCGGACGGACAGGTAAGTTGAGAAGGGGGAGGAGGACTCGAGGAGTGGTGAAATCGACCGTCTTTCGTTCCTGAATATGCAGGAGGTTCACCGCAGCCATACCGTCCGCCCTCACGAGAAACGGGTCATGATAAGGCGGCACCGAGAAATGACACAGTCTAGTCTCGACGACAATGACGACAGAGCCCTGGAAGGTTTGGCCGGCAGGCCGGGTCCGTTTTTCGCGGCCCATCTCCCGACCACTCACTCCGTACTGCACTTCGTGCCCGCTTTCTATGGATCGATTCTCGAAGTCTCGTCACGTCACTTTGTGATGAACCCGTGCCCTGTGCTGCGCAAAGGGTTTTCTGGGCGTGGTGATTGGCGAGGAGAATCCAGTGATTTTCCTCGGCCAGGCCGCTAGGAGCTGCCCACGGTCTTGTCTCCCAATGAAACAGATGAGGGCTGGCCAATGAGGCAGTCGAGACGACTTCTGGCCAGCGATGTTACACAGGCACTAAAAGTTACCCTTGATACCTTATTCCATCGTCAGCTTTCCTTGGATGGTTGATCTTCTGGTGCTTTCGGCTCCGTCTCTGATGGCAACGAGATATTCGGAAAGGCTGGTGCGCAACTCGGCAACAACCAGTCCCGAGATGGCCGAAGAAGAAACCGAGTGGATCGTGAAAGGGGACAACAGCCTGTTGCCGTCCTGACCTGCAAGGCAGTCGGCGTTGTTCGGGCAGCAGCAGAAAGGATGACTGTACAAACATCGATTCTCCTCTTACCCGGCCCCATCTTCTCAGTTCATTGGGAAACGACATGGCACAGAGTTGCCAAAGGAAAAACAACCCCCTCCGAAAACCCCAAGTGGATCCTCTTGGTTTGATTTTCTATTTCCCCTCCCACCTTCAGTCTTGAGAGGAGCTGCATGGACAGGATATGCGAGAAGACAGATCACCTTTTTGAGCTGCGCATGCGCGAACAATAAATGGATGGTCTGATACTAGCAGGCCAGGTCTCCATCCATCAAACCACGCACGGCCGGATTGGCTCCCTGAGATGCTTCGTGGGGGGGCAATCTGTGGAGGACGTACGCACTCCTTCTGGCTCGGTCGCAGCAGGATCGTCTCACAACAGTCGACTGCACTGGCACACTATGCCATAGAGACTTTTTATTTCCGTCCCCGTTAGTTGTTCTCTCACGTTGAACATCGGCGGTTTTTACCTGGCCTGTGCCTTTTTCTTGTCAGTGGAGATAATCAAGCGCCCAGACGAATCGTTTGCACGAGATGACCGCCCAGATACCGAGTTGCGAGAGACAGAATTGTGATGAACCTGACTGGACGGTGACGATGCTATTAGGAGAAGAAGACGGGACGCGTCTGCAATGCGATGGATATCGGAATCACCACGCGCCCCCATCATGCGGAGTATATTGTGCAACGGGAAGAGGGGGGGGAATACCTCCAGAAGAGGGAGCCAACCACGGACGACCTACTCACCGAGAGTTGCCTTCTTGGCTCGTCCTGCCTTGGACAAGTGCCATCTTATCTGCCCACCTGATGACTGGGCAGGGCGTCAAGAACAGGAAGCCGGAGAGTGCGAGAGACAAAAAGGAGTAGAGCGACAAACAATACCAGTGTTAATATGGGGAGAAAGCTGAAGGGGTGGTTGCCTCCCCGCGGTTATGGTTACCTGATGGACAAGGAACCTACAGGTTGCTCCTGCCACTTGGGGTCCGACAGGGTACTCCCAGTGGATCAGGTACATGGGTTTACAGAGCGCACACCTGCCACAGACGAGGTACCTCTCGGTCTTATGTACGTCTTCCCTTACTTCTTCCATCCCTCCTTCCTTCGTCCCGACTACCTTAGGTATATCGAATGTCTTACTCTCGAGTCATACCTACCTGCCTTGTCTTGGGCACCCGTGACGCTCGGATTCTAGGTACCTAAGGTACCTTAGATATAACAACACAAGGTAAGGTACCTTAGGCGACATGGACGGAGTATTGTTCTTCAAATAAAACGCCAAAATGCCTTATCCCCCCAGTACGGATACTGGAGTTACTTACGTACGGAGTTGAACCGCACAGACAACAACTTGCCTGTGAGTTACCTGATGGTTTCCTTGGGTCAGCTCAGCATCATCAAAGATCTTGGAACAGGAAACAGTCCATCAACACCCCCATGATTGACCTTCTTCAGCCGGGGCCCAAATCAACAGCGTGAAGCCCTGGTTCAGCAAGCAGAAAATTCCACTCAAACAGTAACAACCGTTGATATTCTTAGAGGTCCAAAGGTCTGCTTTCCGAACGACTCGTTTCTCTCCCTCTTTTTCTCCAGAGAGGCGTCTTTTCTTCACGGTCCTATTGAGCCCATCCCTTCTTCGACTCGTAAGACAGGGGTGACCACATGTGTCGGGTCAAACTCCAACGCAAACATAGCAGACGAGGTTGAGGGAGCCGCCGCCAGGAACAACGCAACACCTGTTTGTCCAGCAAATTTATTCATGCTTGTCGCCTGAAGGCGACACCGCCCGGCCCACATACACCTGCGTATCGTCTTAGTCCTTGGCCATGCCGGCTGTTCGTCCAACTACGCCGTCAAGCCTGTCAACTGATACCGGCCGAGATTGGAGCCCACCCATATCGCAGCCTACACATACGGAGGGCGCATCGAGCAGAAAAGCCTTCTTGTGAGCTCACTGAGTGTGCTCTCTTCCCCAGCGTTCTCCTTGGCAGTGCCGATTACGATTGACCGGACGAATCCACACGGACCAGGGCCAAAAAAAAAAAAAAAAATTACCACACCCCGGATGCCCCAGGGGAAACAATACCTAACTAACGACCACCACTGATTCCCGCGCGTCTCGATCTGAGACCCGACACCAACGATTGCCGGAGGGTATTCTGACAGCGGGTCTTCCGTCCTTCTCAAGCGGACGTTTGCTCGACCACCTGGGCTGGGCTACGGGGCTGTGGGATTGTGGGACTGCGGATTCTTTCGATGCTGCAGGGGACCGCTGCACTATCGAGTAGTTCCAGCGGCTGCCCTGCAAATAGTCGAAGAGCCTACGAAGCACGGTACTTAGTGCGCACCATCCTGACCATATATCGTGTCATGACCCTCCCCGAGTTTCACGCCCAATTCTACTGATAACAAAGCAGAACCATCCCTCTCGTGGGAATCACAGGGTCAGGACACTCCCGTCTGGAACGACACACAGAGCAAACACGGCTCGTCCGTCCTTGCCGAGACCAAACGAAACGCCCCTCCCCCACGCCCGCGGCCGCTCCCCTGTTCTGAATACTTCGCTCGCCTACCCACAACGTACATACATAGCTAGGCAGCCCTTCGTCCACTTCCCCCTCTTCTTCCTGGCAGCCTACATACAGGCCAAGGCCAAGACGCGCGCTTGCGCCTCCCGCTCCCCTCCCCCCTCCCTCCGCAAAAGCGCGTCAACCACGACTTGCACCTGGATCATCGCAACTTCTCAACCCTTAAGAGGACAAGCCGAAACGAAGTGGAACAAGAAACGATATTTACATTGTTCGCCGCGACTTCTCTTCAAACTCGATCTTGTCACCTCGTGCAGATATTTTCTGGTCTCGGTTTTAGGTTGTAGCAAGCTCTACACTAGATGGCCTTGAGCTACGCTCTCCATCTCCTTCGTCCACTCCACCACATAGCCGATTTCCTCGCGGTCCTTCCTCCGTCAGGAACTCGAAACACTTTGCTTCTTTCGCTTTTTCTGTTGCTCCACAGAGCCATCATTGCAAATAGCTATCTCACGTAGTTCATTTTCTTGTGTCGCAAATGCCTACGAATAAGCCGCGCAGACTGCACGGCTGGTAGACAGCTGGCAGCGTCTTTTCACCATGGCGGCTCCATTCACAGACGACGAAAAGGTAGGCGGCCCAAGAACCCCTTTACCCCGATCCGTTCGTCTTGCCCGCTCTGGCTGACATGGTGTGCTTCTGCAACGGCAGCGATTCATTCTCTGTGAGATGATCAAGCAAAGCAAGTTGGATGTGGATGTGCTCGTCAACCTTGTCAAGTCGAGGAATATCGAGCCGGACTGGTGGTTTTCTATGCATTTGCCTCATGGTTTGTCCTTCCGTCACCTAATGCTATGCCGTGCCTGTTTCGTTGCCGTCCCAAGTTAAACCGAACCGAACCTGACCCCCGTGACTTTTCATTAGGGCGTACCATAAACCAATGTCTCGAAGCTGCTTCCGACATGTTGGAGACGACAATGGAACGACCGAGCCTCAAGCGCAAATCTCTCGGGGATCTTCACGATGAGCACGCCACAAAACGGTCAACCGTCACGGAACTCCTTTCCCAACCATCGCCCTCGACTCCCTCGGTTGCTGCTTCCCATCCCGGTACCTTAACACCCGTCTCGGCGCCTGCAAGAGCTGATTGCTTCTTCCAACAATCTGTACCCAATACGCGACACGTGAATATTCGGCCGCGACCTCCAGTTACGGGAACACCGGTTCCCTCGGCCCCGCCGCCTCTTCCACCTGGTCCAATTCAGCCAGCACCGACCGGTCGACGTAGAGGAAGACCACCGAGGGCGGATAAGACCAGACAACTACGTCCCTTGCTGCCACAAAACCTGGCGCCTCTGGCTCCCCGGATAGATTCCCAACCAGCCGCGGGCACTCGTCTGTTACCACCGGGAAGCTCCCCGGATACTGGGGCCGGGCCTCACACCACGGCGGAAGAGACGCATCAGACATCGGAATCAGCTAGGACGCCAGGTCAACAATCCGTGGGAGCTTTGAAGGCTGCGAAAAAAAGGGGCCGGCCGCCTCTAGCCGACAAGACCAGAACGGCAAGTCTGTTCCTTCGCCGTCTGGCGACGCTCAGTATCTTATGCTAATGGCTTCTTCGACAGAAACATGAACACGTAGAAGGCAGTTCTGAGCCCGCGGCCCGCCTTTCCCCTGGGTCCAGGCCTGATCAAAGTCGAAATTATCCGAGTGATCCACCAGTACCGTCGAGGCCAGGAACGGCGCCATTCCCACCATCTACAACGGCACGTTCTCCTTCTCCGAAAGAGAGGGCCATCCCATCTATCAGTCATCTCACCCGGGAGGGTTTAGCCAGGTGATGCGCCGCTCTCTTTTCACCGTCGATTTGTTCGTTGCGCGGTTATCTCGCCGTGGCCAGGTGGTAACCCATCACCATGGCGAGACCCTTACTTGACATTCCGAGTTCGCTCTGGCCGATGCGGATCATCGGAGTCTATCTTGTTTATCTGACGGCAGTTTCCATCTTCATTTGCCGTGGACTTCCCCCAGTGACGATACCCACATTATTCTCTAGCGTCTCGGCATTGTTTTGGTGGTATCAGCATGTCAACTTCCATATCAACTTCAATTCTTCTTTTCTGTACGTACTCTATATTATGCAGAGTCTGTCTGCA